CAATAATTATTCAGAAATCGTGAGATGCGGTCTGGTGTTTACGTTTCGCTCTTTATTGAGATCTTCTTCAGGGCTCAAAGTGTTTGTCTTCAGTATAATCGTGCCATTCTTTCGTGTCGTGTTGAGAGAAAGAAAATGTTTTTCTGAAACCTACATCACACCAGACCGCATTTCACGATTTCTGAATAATTATTCCAAAGAAAGGAAAACACGGAAAATAAGTCGTTGTATATTTTTGGTTTATGAACGGTTATTTATTTTTCCTCGTGATCTTTGCTTAATAAAAAGCAATAAAGATAATCTTACAACAAATATAGTTAATCATTATCCCTAGTCGTCCATGTTTTAAAGAAATACTTCTTTGTAAGTTTTTCCAATTGTAAAGGAGCCAGGTTAGTGTAAGAGTTGAAACTGGCACTACTTTTTTTTCATTTTGGCTTAATTAAAAATTTACTATACTTTTATTTATATTGTTCGAACTATACTTCTCCCATTTAGTCTTCTATTTTCTTAATTTTCTTCTCAATTTAGTAAAAATGTAATTTTTCCACTTTTGTTATTTTATCGATTTCACCGGCTTAGCAAACAGTTCTGCGTACAGACTACTTCCCATAGTGCACATCATACTTTGAATTACTAGGGCTTGGCATTTCGAGGAAAAACGTCTCCCTGCATTGGAGGGGAGCCAGAAAGTTTCTAGTGGAAGTACATCTCCCTGGCCTTGAGCTCCGGATATTTCATTTAAAATTAGATTCAATGCAAAGACGTGTTGAAAGCGTGCTGCATAATGAAAGTTGAAAAAGCCTGAAAACTCCGGACTTGCTGAATTCGTTTGAGAACATAATTAAAAGTAGGGCGTACAAGTTCATACATCTGTGTCAAATATGATCATTGATAGTAGATAATTTATTAAGTACACACCATATTATCAAGATATACATTTTTCGATAAGTACATCGTTTCACTTTTAATACATTACTTTTTTATTACTTTGATTTGGTCAGGGCCATTAAATCCATTCGTTGATCAAACCATTGATACTATCAAACAGCAATAGCAAAGCTGATAAGTTTTGCGTATATAATGGAATTATGTTGTATATTGTTTTTAAATCTATCCTACCTTAGGACACGATAATTATCACATAAAACTTTTTTAAATATATTTTTAAAAAATTATGTCTTTAGCGCTTATTTTCTTTGTCGTTATCTATAGATAAATTAAAGACTGATTTTTATACCTTTTTTTTAAATTTCACTGGTAACAGCTTTCGTAAATTAATCTGTCAACTTTTATCAGTCTTAATTAAGAGTAGAAATTTAAATTTCGGAAAAACCCATGAGTCGCACCGAGGTGCGTTAAATATAACTAAAATTAATCCACTGTTCCACCTGGAAGTGAAAGTATTCTGCTTTGTCCCGACCCCATTCACTTATCTGAAAAACGAAAATCGCCTTTAGCTTAGAAATTGGTCGTGGTGTAGACAGAATCTACCGCCCCTCGAATGATACGATTTGCTTCCAGGCGGTGTTTGCCTCCTGAAAGTAGCAAAGTTGGACAACGTCCAAACTAATGTGGAGAATAGCCCAAATGAGGGTTTTATTTGGGTGTTAAGCGTCATCCTACGAAAATCTGTCATCTGTATTTTGTTACTTGATAACCAAATCGTGATTTTTCTCTTCAGAAATACGAGACTTCCATACGCATTTACTAGTTTCACTGCGAAATCAATTTCGTCAATCACCATTCCCTCAAAAATATGTTACATATACATGACACATGGAATCTGTAAAGGCCATAAAAACATATTTTCTGCATTACTTTTATTCTTACTACTATATCTAAAAAATATATCTTGTTCAAAATTTAACAATTTAGCCTAAAAATGACAAAAACTATAAATTTTAAGGAAAACATATACTACATTGATGGACAAAATTAACACACTAACCTTAAATTTTAATACATTTAGGTTTATTCATATTTTGCAAATCAAAAATGGGTTTGATAAAACATTTAATAAGAAAATTTTTATTACCTAATTCTAAAAAAAACAAAAACAGTTATTGAGTAAAGGACAAAAATAATGAATAAATAAAACAGAAAATTCAAAAGCAAATAAATATGTAAAAAAACTCTTTTGTACCTTTAAAAAAAACGGAATAATATCATATAAAATCAACGGAAGAGAAAAATTAAATGAAAGCGATCTATAGGCTTAGCAAAATCGAAGGGCTACTTTATGCTACGTTTTGTGCAAATAGGATTGATCGTAAGAAAAGTAAATAATGGAAGTTTACAAAACATTATTTACTGTACTATGATAGCTCCTAATTACCTGCAAAGAATGTAGAAGGATAATCCATTTAATTTTAAACTAGATAAATTGAGTGGTGCGTTAAATTTGTCCTTCGGTGTATATGTAAAAAAAATTTAGCTTAAAAATGACAAATTAAAAAACGACTTTAAATTTTAAAGATAATATATACTATAAGTAATTAAGTAATAATATATCTATATCCACAATTTTTTTAGTCTCGATTTGCTTTACTATTTTATGTAAATCTTACTTGTAGTAGAAACATATAAGTAGGCAAAACGAAACGAAGAAAATTATTGAAAAAAAACACGTCTTAATCCTCTTAAATTCGTCTTTATTTAATTATTTTTAATTGATTAACTGTAAAACAACAAAAGGAAAAATCTTTTCAATTTCTGTTTATTGTTTTCATAATACACATGGTTGTGTGGTGCATTTAATACTAAAACCAAAGTTAAAGTGCTGTTTAACACGTTGTTAAAAAAAATTCCGACGATTCATCTTAAAAATAAGCATATACAAAATAATTCGATTATTGGTACTTGATTAGGTAAATATTGTAAAACTATTAATACTGTAAAAAAAGCTTGAGGGGGGGCTGAGAGGTAAAAATAAAAAAGAGGTCATTGCTCCAGTGCCAGGGATGCTGTTCTGCTTAGGTCGATTAAAAAATAAAGTTCGATTAAAAAATAAATTTAAAAAATCACATTAAATGTGTATTAATGACGTTTTATTAATACAACAAGTGTAAAATCGTGAGTCTGTTTCGCACAAAAAAATTGTTTGTCGCAAGAACTGTGCGGAACTAACTTCATTTAGTTTCATTTATAATTTCTAAACTACTTATGTAATAATATTTGTAAGTTAAATATTTTTATCTCCAATATAATTAATACCAGCCTGCTTGTTCGAAACATTTTTGATTACTGGAAACAATAAAAATAAATTAGGTAACTAAGAACACAAGAGGAAAAAAAAAATACTAAAATTTTATTCGAATTTCAGTTGACAGTAACAAAGAAATAAATCATAGAATTTTCTTCAACCATTGGTATCATTTTAGGTACAGTTTTTGTCTTTCCTGAAAAATTTCTTTTTCTCAAGAAATCGGGTTATGGAAAACAACTCATTTGAAGCAGCAAAATAGTCATTCTCAGTCCTCGTTCACATTCTTAATCTTGTAAAGATAAAAAACTGACAGACATAAGAAATTAACTTCTTCTAAAATATCAGGTTAATTTTATTCTTTCAACGCAAAACCTAGGAAAATTCGGCAATTAGTAAAATCTCTAGCGATGTTATAGAATAAATAAAATTTAAAAACTGAAGAAAATAAATGAAATCTTAAACGGAAGCTAAAATTGTTATACATGAATCGACGATCCAGCTGTTATTTTAAGTTCCTTTAAGTATGTTCCAAAACGTATGGACGTTGAAAAGGGGTTTTCGAAGTACAAATAGTAGAGTAGAACGATAAATGTAGTTTTACAGAAATTAACTTGGAAATTTATGTCATTGTCACTTTTAATTCAGATCGTGAACTTAACTAAACTTGATTATTTAATTATTTAGAAATCGCGATTTGCGGTCCAGTCCGCATCTTACTATTTCTAAATAATTATCAATTAACGATCACTAATCACCACACACTTGATTATTTATTTCATATAGTTTACAAGATGATTTTTGTATAACTGACATATTTTGCTGTCCTGTTCTCTTTCAAAATGAATATGTACTAGAAGAAAATATTACTATGTCTAGGTTAAAAAAAAGTTCAAACTGTGTTTCTGATATAATGTTGCGATTTTAATATTTTTGGGTTTTTTAGTCCATATAATAATTGCATATTTAAGGGTTTTTCAGGGCATATTTGTAAATTTTTATTGCTTATAAATTCGGGCTCTACTTATAACTTTTATAATGAGAATCAAAAATTTTGCGGGAAGTGGCACAGCTGAACGCGGCTCTTAAAATACTTAAACGCAGTACATTCGTGCGTTGAGGGTTTAGCATAAATCCTGCCGAATCGTCTATACAGACTCAACAATATTTTTACGGGTATGCATTTATTTATTTCTCATTTCACATTGTTTTGTCGCAATCACAATTAAAAATAAATCGGACTGGATTGTCATGAGATAATAACGAAACTTTTTGACGTCATTTACGCAAGTTAGTGTACAGTTAAACTGGTCGCCACTGAACTTCCCATTTCGTATGACTCACTCCGGATTGATCTCCAGGAGGCTGAGTCATAAAACGAGCACCCTCTCTCACTGGAGATTTTCAGAACTTTATTAAATTAAACGATCTGAAAATATTACAAAAGAATCAATTATTGAGCTATCTTTTTAATATTACGCATACATCAAAAGTAATGTTTTAAGTGTTATTGTCACCGGAAATTAATTTCGCCAACTTTTTCGATGGTAATATTTTGTTAATGTTAAAAAGAGAAATGTTTCATTCTCATTTTCGACAAAACTGCTTGATCGATATGGCGGCGCCAAACTATTGTCATACCACGGAAGATTAGGACTGAAGTAAAACACGAAACCGTTTCTTGTACTTAATGGTTAAATTATAAACTTATCATAACTCATAATTATCGTAAACAACATGTAAAATACAATAATGTCAACAAAAAAATGGATCATTTATAAAAAGGACGTTACAGATTGTCGAAACGAAGAAAGAAAGTTACGCGAAAGAGCTAGAATTAATTAAAATGGCTAACATGGTTAAAAGAAAGGAAATTGAATTAACAGAAAAGAATAAATTAATATCAAAGGCGGAAGAAAACGCAGCGGAAAATCTCGAGTATGTTACAGATTTGACAATATTGTTTAATAAACAAAAAATGCTCTAATTTTTGTTTGAATTCGTTTATAATTGAGTTTGTTCATGTGTTTAATATTTTATTGATGTGTTCACAGAAAGTTTAGAGGGGCATCGGACAAGATCACCAACTTGGAAAACGAAGTCCTCTCTTTGATCCTCAGAAACGAATCGCTTTCCAAAGAGATTAGCGAACTGGAAAAGACTTCTAGCGAGAGGAGCCAGACCTGCGAGATTCTCGAGAGCACCATACAGCAAAACTAGTAAGTAGAATCTCCTTAGCTATAAAAAAACTGCCATTTATTTTATTTCTGTCCACAGTGTCACAATCATAGAGATGAACACCGCCTTGGAAGCAGTCACGGCATTATCGTGGAAGTCCAAGTTTTACTCGGCGATAAACACCATGCTACAAGTGCCCATATGGGCCCTGACCATGGGCGGCTCCCCCCACGTGTTCTAAGTTTAGGAGTGGATCTTGGCCAGCCATTTTTATACATTTTTTGTACATACCATTTGTTAACAGCATAGCAGGCACAAGAATAAAATTATTATTTTTCATTTCAATTTTAATATCACTTATAATAATTTCATGTCAGATAATATGAAAAGAGTTGAAAAGTTTCCCTCTTCAATATTATTAATATTAAATAATAATATATCAAATATTGCTAAGGTGCGTCCACTTAGATTGCTTAGAGGGGCATCGGACAAGATCACCAACTTGTCGCACTGTAGCGTTTCCACGTCCGTATGAATGCGATTCAGCACATGCTGATGGTGATTCTAGACGATGGTGGTTCTGCTTACCTGGTCAGCACCGACGTACTAACTAAAACGGAAAAAACCAAAAAAAATCGAAAAAAATTTATTGTCTTTTTCGATGTAAATCGACCTGCCGAGCCGATTGATGCCCATCGTAGGATCTGACGCGTAGAAGAAAGCTCCTCACACAATTAAGGCTAGGCGGCTGCACGAGAATGACACACAGACACTTACTTTTCTGCCAAAGCCATCGTATGTTTATGCAGAGAAAGGTTGCTCGATGTGCCCCACCTAATTGAAGGGTGCGATTCCTTTTCTCCGTATAGAGAGCGTGTAGGAATGGCGGCCGTTATGAGAATTTTGTTTGTGCTTAGTAGCAAGTATTTGGGTCCGCTGTTCCGATTCTTGGAGGAAACAGGGTTGTTTTATTGTATAAAGTGCTTATAGATTTATTCGTGTAGTATTAGCTTAGTGTGTATTGAGAGTGAATGTGTTTATTAGCGTGATTGTGAGAGGGACGATGGCGTAATATTGAGCACCCCATCGACCTTCAATTAGGTTAGTTATATGTAGGAATATCAAGTACTCCACCACCCTAATTAAGTGCTTGTAAGTTGTTTGTAAATAGGAAAGAATGCATTTAAGGGTGAGTGAGAATGTGAACGGATTTGGATTTAGGGACTGGGGTAATGCGTTGGGTGCTGAATTGACCTAGCTGTTGACAGCACCCAAAGCCCAACCTCAGTGGCTGAATTATAAGACCGATATCTGACCTCGGACTCCCAATACTCAAAGGGGTGATACTTGAGACCTGCCGGTAATTTATTGTAAATTACAAAATCTGGGATTGCCGGTGGACTGCGAGAAATGATAGGCTCACTCTGTACGTGTGTATACAGTATACAGGGTGTCCCAGTTCCTTCCGACGAAACTTCTTCGTCTTCTTCAAATGGTGTAATTGGATTTATTGTAGTCTCAACATTTTGGAATTTGTAAGCGTTTTTATGTGGTAAAGTAGTGAAAAGTTGAAAAAACCTAAATTGACGAATATCTTCAAAATAGAGAACTTTCCGAAAATTTTCTCCTAAGCATATTTGCTCCAAACGAGGAGGAGAATCGATTCTCTAAGTTTCGTCAGAAGGAACTAGGACACCCTGTATTTGAACAACATCTGCAGATTTGAGCTTGTATAAATCAAAATCAAATGTTAATACAGAAAGCGATAGTGTGTGATTCAAAACTTTGTATAACAATTTTCAATATATTACAATTTATATTGATTTTACAAACTGTATAAAACATTTAAAAAAGTTTCTGTAACTGTTGTTAACAGGAATAATAGAAGAGTAGAATTTAGATTTTTTACATTTTAAGGTGTTTTAAAACATTCGATTTTTTATTGAAACGTGTGACGTGATGAAATTTTGTTCTGTTGCGATGATTTTCGCCTGGTTTGGTCACCAAACTACATTAGATAGTTTGATTATAGTTGGCTTAAAATAATATATATACAATATAATTACGAACATAGATGATGACCTTAAAGTGGATCGAAAGCTTGGCAGATAACAATTGAGTTTGTTTTCTCGTCCAGACCATACCAAGATCCAGATTATTCATGAGTAAAAAAGTGGTCGATACATTTACACTAAGCATAATTATGTTTGTTAACATGTTATATTCTAGTTATGTTTCACTGATGAAATAGCTATATGTATAGATGAAGGTTGATCAACTTTCAAATATGCCATTAAGTATGAAGTTTATCATTTTTGTACAGCAACATATGGAAAATAAATGTTTTATTATAATTTTATTAGTAAATGGAAGAAAGAATCAAGTTGGACCTTATTTTCGTTTGGTTCCCATATGTTTTGTTATGAAGAGATAAACCGGCTCACAAAAACCAACAAAAAGTTTAGATAGTATTTCAACACTTCGTAGTTTAAAAGCATATTTCAACTTTGTTTCTTTTGATGCGGGCTTCTCCAGCTTGTTTCCGTTGCCTGGAAACAGTTGACTTTCGAAATCGAAAACGTGTAGATTTTTACTCTAGTTTGTAGTTCCCCTCACAATGGAAGGATTACCGCTCTTGCCGGGCTATTCTTTTAGCGATGTTACTGTAAGTTTTTGTCATATGTTTTCTTCGCATTATTTTTCCTATCTGTAACGCAAGTCTCAATTTCGGAACGGATACTCTGTTATATGCACATTTCTAGCAATATTTGCATAGAACAAAACAGCCTCTTTTCAGAGATTGTTCGTACCTACCTACCAACCTTTCAATCTCATCAAGTATGTTAACTATACAAAAAGTATACACTAAAAGACAAAAACTGGACACTCGTATTTTGTTGTTTAATTCAAACTATGTATATGTAAGGTTATCGTTATATTAATTACAACATACATATATTAATTAACAACTTAATTAAACAAGATCAGAAATTCATGAATTTTAAATTATGATGGTTTGAAAGAAACTTCCCCAAAACACCAGAAAATCATTTAGTGATAAGTTTAAAATTTAATTAGCTAGTTTTGATCTTAATAACACATTTTACTTCCACTGACCTCGCGGAGGGCCTCACGTCTCCTAGGCATTGAGTAATTAAGTGACCGGATTTCGTTTTGTGAAACAGAATCCATTTCTCCAAAAAGAGATGTTCGAAGCTGTTCAACGCTTGTTGGAGGTAAACAATCATGTCCCATAACTGTTCTACATGAGTCATGCCAGGAAAACGTGCTGGCCAATACATTGTGGTAATCCCTACATCCTCCAAGTATTGGGTGACAACTCGAACTACGCGCGGTCGAGCATTTATCATGCAGTAATACGAAATTGTCCCCAATAAATGGAGCAAATGCCACAGGTTCCAGAAGAACTTCCTCAATGTACCTTAGCGAAATCACAGATCCATTCTGTATGATAATCAGTACGAGTATGGAAGTTGATTCCACCCCAAACCATAACTGACTCTTTAAAAAGGCTAAAACTCACGATGGCACATGAAACAAAGCGTTCACCACGTTTTCTTTACATGCGGTCATCTGCTTGCCACAACCAAACGTGCACTCGTCTGTGAAGAGAACAGTCCCCCATTGTTCACGTTTACAAACGAGATGCTGATTTGCGAATAGTCGCATTTCGAGTTTCTAATCAATGCCTCATCAGTAGTAGACACCTGATGCGGGACGTGTAGAGACTAGGCTTTTTGATGACTGTTTTACGGCTTACCCATACATTACGGAACGTTTAGAGTTGACTACCTATCAAGGAAACCATTAAATGACGGTTCCGTAGTGCGGTAAGAGCAAGAAAACGATCGTCTCTAGTCGTCGTACAGGCCGACCACTCTTCAATGGAGACTTCCGGTGGCCATAAAAATTGCTGTAGACCATTGAGAATGGTAGAGCGCGGCACACCCAGCTATTTGCTCTGTAACGGACGCTACGTCCGTAGATCGCCGAAGCATCTGCTTGTACGATCTTCTCGACTTAAAAGCATGCTTTAAACAAATTAAATTTTTTACTCAAATTTGTTGTTCCATAAAAGAAAACTATTTAAAACGTCAATTAACTCACTGGACAAGTTCGCTCTGGAAAGGAAAGTGGTTCCCTAATTTGATTCTACGTTAGAGGTCATATATAATATACAGTTCTGGTTTTAAGATTCTTCTAAGGGTAAGTTGCCTGCTGCCTGCCTTTACAATTTCATCATCGGTGGCAACGTAAAGCGAACTGAAATATGCCCAAATAAACATTTCACTTGCATATTAGTTCTTAATTAATTGTAATTTTAGTTGCTTTGAATTTTTAGAGAACAAAGCACTTCAAGCCTCGCTTATTCGAATGGAGAAACGGCTACCCCTTGGTTAAGCATTCCAAAGCTGGAATCGGCAACACTCCGCTGGACGTCCAGAGCGTCCTTTTCACCAGGGGGCTTGATTCGGTGAGGTAAGATTTCGCGGAATTTTCTCCGTCATATTTTGTATAAATATTTCACCTCCGTTTAAGGTACGACCCGTCCCTGACATACGGAAGGACAAAAAATTATAAACCGGAAACTCTAAAGCCTCATTTTGTTCTCTATGACAAAAAATGTCTTACTTTCAAAGCGTTTTTCAAGCAGGGGGTTCCAAACTCGCCCGACGAACATTTCAGAGTACGCTTGGTGAACATTGTCTATTTTCTAGAAGATGACACAATAACAGTAATGGAACCGCCTGTACAGGTGAGTAATTTTTTTCTAAATGATATTAGAATTAAAATTAATTAAGAAAGTTCTATGTTGTTTGCATTTTTGCTAACTTTATATTGTACTTTTGTATGTAATATAAAGCCACTTAAGATACATGGGACAACTAAGAGCAATAAATTATTTTGAAATTCTAAATATCTTTGAGATAAAACTAGAACTTTGGTATCTGCAAGAACATTTCTTTCCTAGATTTTTGTTCTATTTGAAATTTACAGCCGTAAAATTAAATACCACCAAAGAAAATTGTGATAGAGAAATATAATTGACGTGTATTGTCTTGAGCGAAGAAGTCACCCAGTAGTGACACTGTGATTAACTATCCCTAAAGTTTTAAAATTATATTTTCCCATCGTTTTTTATTTTGTATTGACTTTGTATAGCATAATTAATACTTTTTCTTCTTTTTTTGAAGACTGTGACCTCATTGGTTATTAAGCCTTGTCTACAGTGTCATGGGTACAGCCTGGCCAGTGTTTTTAGATCAGAGTGAAGTCCTCACAGTTGGGCCTCTGCACAAAGAACCAAAACCCATGGATATCTCTAATCTCACAGCTAATACTTTTAAACTTAACATTGTGCACAATATTATATAGGCAATATACGCTTTATCAAGGAGGGGTCATGTCTAGAAATTCTCTGATCCCAGAGTCTGGGGAGGCACCTCTTAATCAACCCAAGACGAACCAACACCCGTGGCCTTGGACGGTCATCACCACAACCGAGCCCCGTGTCACCGCCAACATGAGGCACCAGTAAAGGAAACAAGAATTAACTGGATATGAAATTACATTTTAACTATTAGTTGGATGTCTGTTCAGAAGTTAAAAATTTTGTTTATTGATGTTGAATTATTACTTAGTCGATTGAAAGTCTTTGAGGATATGGCGGAGGGTTCTGATAGAGGTGTATAAAGGACAATCAATCAATTATGAGATGTAGTCATAGTAGATATACACATTGGACAGATAGGTTTAAAGGTTCTTTCAAGGAGGTAACTAAGGGTGAGCCAGGAGAGGCCGGGCTAGAAGGGTTTCTTATTTTCAGGAAGGTCTGGAAGAAAAAATTCCCTGTCTCTTTTTTCCCCTTAATTGTGAGCAACTCGTTTCCCGTGCATAGTGCAAAATATAATTAAAAATTTAATTTATTTTACCTATTAAATTTCAAGAATACATATATTTTTCAGAATGCAGGCTTTCCTCAAGGGCGAATAGTTACCAGGAATAGAATTCGTAAGCCTAACGGAGAATCTTTCTACCATTGGAAGGATTTAAATACAGGAATCGAAATAGAAATTTATGGAATTGTATATCACCTATGTTCTTGTGATAGTTACACCAGGGTATATCTTTATATACAGAATCCCTGACAATTATTGAAAAAAGTTCATTTTTATTTGCAGGAATACCTCATGAGTCAAGGCGTTGAATTGAATGATGATGAATGTTTGCCACAAGATCCTTACACAAGAAAGAGAATGTCTCAAAATACAGTAAAAACTAGCATTACACCTTCATGCGAAGATAAAATGTACAAATTTTTAGCTTATGATAAGAAAATATTAAGGTAAACAGATTGTAATATGTTTTTCCTAAAAATCTAAAATCTAAAAGAATCTTTTTTTCTTTTTTTAAACCTAGGTTTTGGGCAGTTTGGGATGACAGAGATAGTGAGCATGGAACATTAAACTTTTTCAAAATTCATTATTACTTAGGGGATGATGAAATGGAAGTGATTGAAGAAATAGAACCGAATTCTGGAAAAGATATGAAGCCAGTGCTAGTCAGAAAATCTAAAATACCAAAAAATTGGAGGAAAGTACGAGGCAAGTAAAAAAACATAAAATTACATGCAAGAAATTTACTAATACCAAGTTTAGTATTATATTTGTATGTTGTAATTTTATGTCAGAGGATTTCCCATCCATATATATGGAAAAAATAGAAGAAGACTTTACTGAACACTATGGAATTAAAGATTTAGTAATCGGGAATACTTTATTCATTTATGGCAGGAGGTAAATCAATCTAGTTACGAAAGAATATGGAAAATAAATAATATAATAACTATAATGTACTATCAATGTAATGTAATTTTAACTAAAACTAACATTCCTATTCTACACAAGAAAAAAAAGAAACAAAAAATACTAATTTTATTTCAAAGTTTGAATAAGGTGCATTTCAATGAGATTTTTTTGTTAGATTCCTACTGGTAAACTGTGATAACTATACTCGAGTGTTCTACAGAGAAATGTTAAGGATAGAACAGCCTCCCCCTATAGACATGACACCTAAGAAGACAGTTGCACCATCTTATGTATGTCTTTTAATTATAATGTAAAAAAATACAGTATATAAAAAACAAAAACTGGCATCACTATATTATTGTTTGTTTTTTACTTTTTATTTTTAGAATAAAGCTAAATTTTGTTTGTTTTCCAGTCTCTGCCACGTTATTCTGGATTTGGTACACATGAGGATAGTCTACAATCTTGGAATTCATTTATTCCAAAGCCTCCTAAGAAAGATTTGATAAGATATTTACTGAATATGAGGAAGGTATGCTGTGTCTGTATCTTGTATTGTCAAAAATCCATTCTTTATTTTTAAAAATTCTCAGATTCTTCGCTACATGGCTGTAATGGATTACATTCACCCAGAGGACAAAGATCGTAGGTTTGTGTTGGAATACCGACTTTCAGACGGCTGTTTGAGTGTACATGAGACACGGCTACACAATTCAGGCTTTGAGGGAGGAAAATTCTTGGCATTCACTCTTGTCCCCAAACCCAACACATCCTATGACAATCCGGAATATTATACCCCTGTCGATTTTACTTTAGGTACCATCTACTTAGTGACCATCTAATTAATTATTCTCTGCTTTTCAAATGTTTTTTTTCTTTTTCTACAGGATCAATCGTCAACTGTTTTGGACACAGATTTAAGATAATAGGTATAGACCTTGCAGTATACAGGTACATGGAGGCAAACCCTGAAAAGTTCAGGCCTGAGGTTGTCTCCGAAGTCAGAAAACATTTGGTAAGGGAGGGACATCTGAACGAGGATATCAAAGATGTAGCCGAATACAGGAAACACGAGGAAATTGCTGAGCCGGTGATTTATCCCAATGCACCAGAGTACAATGTTCAGCAAGTCAGGGCAGCGAAAGAGCAGATGAAACTCGACCCACCTGACTGCACACCGATCAACCAGCAAATGAGGCAGCAAATGGTAACAAATGGAGAAAAAAATCTATGCAAATCATGAATAACTTTAAAAAACATAGCAAATCGTGATAACATACAACTAAAATATGCCTTAAATACATTGTCTGCAAATAATCGTTTTGAAAACTTTGACTTATAAATTTTAGTTACAATGTTTTTTAAACAGAGACCAAGGAAATACATTTTTAAAATATATTTTTGCTAAATGAGCTTTTAATTTACCTTGAGTTCTGGCTGTAATATGTTGTACACATCAAGATGATGATATTGTCTAACTTGTAGACATTTTTATATACGTGTAAGATTACCCACTGATGAATCTCCATGGTATAATTCTATCAAATATACACAGTTCTATACATCTAGTTATATAAGTTATTAGTAGAAAACAGAAATTCTCTAAGTTTTCCTTTCACACATCTCACTGATATTTTTGTCTCGTGCTTTCTTAACTTCCTAACCTTTAGTCATCTCTGTTTGTCAAATTACTACGAAAATATATGCTATACATCTATTTTTATTTATTTTCAGTTAAAAAGTTATTACAAGTGATTAGAAATGCAAAATTAGCTAAAGCTGCTTGAAACTCACCTGTCAAACAAAACCTGCTTGGTAGGTAGACCAAGATGATTGGGAGTGTCAAGCTTTGTCAAATTCATCAGCATTCCACATTTTGAAACAATATTTTACAAAATTACCGTAGTTAATAGCTTTCATCCAATTTCAATTTAGTATTTTTTTCTTTTATTTGCCTTTCCACTTAATTTGCAATGCTTTTTTTGTTGGCAACATCGTACCTCCTGACATCTCTGATAAAACTATTTCATTTTTATATTTTTTTAAGCAATTCCTTGGTTGGAAGCTCTGTTTGGAATCGGTTGTATGGAAACCTATCTAAACTGCAATACAAGCCTTACTTTGTACAAAAATAAAAGAACGTGTGGAAACACTATGTGCAGAGAATAGTGAATAGTAGTTAAATGTTCGTGTTAAGTTAAAACTATAAAAGAAAACAGTTTCTTATAGTTGTTTAATGGACATATTTATTTGACATGTGATTAAAAAAAGAAACAAGGGAAAAATACTATTTTAAATAAAAAGTGACTTAATTCTAATAAAAGTAGTACATAGTATATATTATTTATAGGGCAAACAAACATCAGGTGAGCATCACTAGCCGTCTGTTTTTTTTGTTTTTTTTACATGCTAACCTCTCAAAAATGACTCATTAAATTACTATTAAAAGAACTTGAAAACTCACAAAGATTTTCACACTTCCTAGCTTCTGCTACTAGCGATGGGAGCCTGCCCCTGGCTGTAATACCCAGACAGTGAGTAGTGAAATAGAGGAACCCCCGCAGTATCATGGTTAAGAGACGGCAGACCATGCCCCCTGAAAGCATGCTGCAGTTCCCCAGCAAGATAGCTGTAAGTGCATGTCCATTGTGGTACTGTATATTCCGATGTCAATTTGCTTTTGCCACCCAAAACAAGACAAGTCTGATCACTCCCCCAGTGAACTTTATATTCCTCAGGATAGGTTTAAATAGTACATTCACGCTAATAAATTACTTTCATTTTCCAGGCAACATACTCTCACCCAATACTTTCATTATACCCCACCAAGATATTCCTCGGAGTGGGGTATAATCCTCTGATTCCGCCTAATAATTTACTGTCACACCATACATAAACAAAATATGCTCAAAGCTTAATCTTTTGGTGCATTACGAGTAGCACACTCTCTTTTCTACCTACAACTTACAAATGTCCATTGTAAGCCTAGTATGACCTGGTACATATGGTCCTTTCCCTTCTCGACCATGGACCAGTGTTTATCTGCAATAATATGCAGAAGTCCCATTTATCTTTTACATTATTCTTCATAATTTTACATCTCTGCCTTATTAAGAAGAAATGCTGTATCTTCTATTTTGAAAGTTTTGAGAAATTTAGCTTTGAAGTTTTCAATGCTGAATGTCCTCACTTAAGGTGCCGGATTTTTTAAAGGTTTGAACCTAGGACTCTAACTTCACTTTTTTATAATCCTGAAAGCTTTTTGTACAATAATTTATAACTTATTTTATCAACTCACTCTTATTTTATGCATTTTTTTAATATAAAAAAAAGGTTGTTACGTTAACTTTAACTGGTAAAATTTTGTGATAATTACTAACAAAAAAGAACAACTGAAAAGAAAGTGTTCTTTTATAAATATACATTTTTGTTTAATTATTATAATTTCTTTAACAACGCAATAGTAACAACACATAATGAATCATATATTTAAATTATAGCTCTGAATTTCCATTTTCTTTGTTCAATCCAATGCTACTCTCCCCTAACTGAAATATTTTATGAAGGAAAAGAGTTTTTGTGGCATAAAACAAGTATAAAATACAAAAAGTGGCGCATGCGTTAATTATATCTAGTGTCAAGATTTTTGATTAAAATAGTAGAAATACGGTTCCAAAATGTTTTGAGCTGTATACATAATATTTATTAGTGGATCCATAGGGGATTTTTTCATGAGTTGTAAAACCCTACTGAGCGAATCCGTGAATATTATGAAGTTTTTTCCTGTTTTTTATATATTTTACTCAGTGTGAGTGTAGTTCTTATATAGTTCTAGTTCTAATAGAAAAAGAAATTCAAAAATCAACAATAAACTGTTTATTTACATAAATTAAAAATTTTGATAAACACATTTATTCTATAACATTGAAACAGTACCTCTTTTTAAATATAAAATTTAACTTTGGTTGATTATATAAATAAATATCTCTCTAATATATTTATTTATAACAGCTAATGTTAACTGTATTTACAAATCTTGAGATGTATGAAAATAAATTTTGGATGATTCCATTTCCTAAATTATAACAACAAGTATTTCTATGAGGACAAAACTGTTGACAATATTTCATTAAAATTTCTCGAGAAACTATTTAATATTGTTGTATTATTCATTTTTATGTAAGACAGGAAATATTTAAGAATAATTATTTGGAAGCTAGAAATAGGCATTATTATATTTGTTGAAATTCATGTTAAAGAGATGAAATGATTGGCACAAGCTAAAACCATAAGACCTTATTTTGTTCTTTTTAACTTTAGTAGACCAATAGTTTTATCATTTACACTCACCCATATTTTATTTTAATCTGCTAAAGGTTGAAGAGCCTCTGCTAACAGCATAGCAAATTTATAATCAGGACTAGATTCTGGCAACAGGTTAATGACCAGAGTAGCTAGCTGTGAGATATCTTTTATATCACAAACCCCTTTTGCCTCGGCCTAAAAAAGTAACTTGCATACAATCTTCTACAAGTTCTTTACTCAGAGTGAGTTACCTGATTTCCTATCCAAGTAGTCAACGAAGGGCTTAAGTTTGCTATTCTCTCTTTCACAAGTTTGCTAGAATTGTTGAGAATAGTTTTCATTCTTTCGCCCACTAGCACAAGCAACAAAGATCCCAAAGTTTCTTTTTCAGTCACAGAAGATACCACCTGTGTCAAATACAATGATAAAAAATAAATAAATGTTGATAGTTTTTAATTACAAGTACCTCTCTCGCCAATGTATCACAGTTATTGTTGTACAAGTTGACAACTTGCTGAATCCTAAGTGGCTCAGCTGGTAATGCCCAGTCATTTGCAAGAGAGAAACAATGGCCAATCCACACCATAATTTCTTGCACATTAGGTACTCCCTTTGTAAACAAGAGTATAATAATTAACAATTTATTTTCATTGTATTTATCAAATTAATTCAGATAAAGTTGGACAGACAAACAGAATAAACATGAAAATAAGACTTACATCTTCAGAAAGGTTGGTTTCAATAGCTGATTTTATAACTTTGATCAAAAATGAAGTTCTTGCTTCCTCGATTTTTGGATCTGGGCTCGGACTCATGATGTTTGCTTTTGATTTTATGTCTACCCAAAGGTAAGTCTCTTCCTAAATATAAAGACATTAAGAAACACTTTTTTTTTTAAATATTTATACTTACAATAGAGTGAAATAAAGTTGTGACAGGCTTAAACTGACGGATTGGAAAAGATGCTAAGAACCAGAGTGCTTTTGCACATTGTTTCTGAATGTTTACAATCTTCAAATTTGGCTTTCCTTGAGCAATTGCTATTTCAGCAAGAGATGGTTGAGTTTCCGAAGTCCACAATCCTTCGCGTGAGACAAGGTGTTTTTCATCATTGTAGTCTAAATTTGTGCTGGACAAATAAGCCTAAAAATACAGTTAGTAAAATATGATCAATAAGTTTTTTTTATTCCTGTTTTGTTACCTCTATATAAATTTCAAAATATTCTAAAAGATATTTAAGAAAATGTTTAACGTTTTTGTCACTCATGTTGAGATGCTGTTTGCAAAGCCTTTCCTTTGGAAGTTTGCCTATTTTGTGCAATAATTTCACGGAATTTTCAAAATGAATCTTCAAATGAACATTCCATATTATGGAGCATAATCCTGCAAATTTATCAAATACTGGTTAAAAACAAGCCAAAAATATATATTACACCAAAACTGACCCAGCTGTAAAAGGTGTGAAGTGATGGATTTTAGAAAATGTAGTGCTGTTGCAAGCAATTCTGTATTGTCGGGGTTTTTAACCCACGTCAATAAATATTCACAGGTTACATTTGCTAATAAAGGCCCTGTTGCTAAACTATAAGGAAAATATTCCCTTAAGTGTGAAAATTGGTCTAACAGTCCTTGTTCGTATTCAGTTGTTGTTTTCGCTTCTTCAGATTCCTCAACTGCTGGACGAAATCCCTCACTCACTCCAGTGAAAGTGTTTGTATTATTTACTAAAGCCTCTGCCTCAGTAGGAGTTGCAGCCTTGACGAGCCATTCTGGTGGAAATCCACAAGAACTGACCCACTTAGCAACTGATTCAGCTACCAAACCTTTTAACCAGTTTAAATTATTAAATAATAAAAAATGCAAGATGACAGAACTAAGAAATTTACCAGGGCCTTTTGTAAGGATATTATAAAGTGATATATCTGGTTTTGTAAAGTCAAGCGAGGGTACATTGTTTTGTGTCAGCTTCAATTTGGGTTTGCAACTGAAAAATTCCTAAACTTTTGAACAAAAGCCTTGAAGACATTTTAAAGTAATTACCTGAGGACTGAATGCAAAACCGCTACTGCCTCAACTTGACTCATCAGCTGAGCCCATAAACATGATTCTCTCGATAAAATTTCCCAGTCTCCATCATCATCTGTAATATATGTTTATGTACTTTTTTTTTAATTTTTAATGTTTAATTACCTGACGCCTTCTCTTCAGTAGATAAATACACTGCTCGTGCTATCACTGTCATTGTTAGAGCATTGTTTAAATTCTGACTTTCAACAATGCAACTTCTAACTTTGTTCCACCAATGAAGAGTGTCTTTCAAAGCTAGAAATATTATTAGTATTTTTTCTGATCATAAATAAAAAATTCATTAATTCTTACCAACTAGAGATGTGATGGCTTGAAGAATTTGCATGAAAAGGCATATTTCAGATCTTATATTTTCTCCTAATGGTTTTTTAAGCCAGTAACTAACCGTGGCATACATTAATGATTCTAATTCAATCCCACTGTTTTCAACATATTCTTTCCATTCACAGATAGATAAACTACCATATAGAACACAATGACATAGGACTTCTCCTAAAATTTCAAAGACAGTTGTCATTTTTCCTAAATTTATTATTTTGACTATAATACCTATTACGGCTAAATCATCAACAGAGGTTTTTGGTGAAAATGGTAGAGGTGGTTCCTTCTGATATGAATGCAAAAAGCTATGGAGGAATATTGGAAACCTGTCTTCTTTGTGTTTAAAATGTACTACCATTTTTGCTCGACTAAGAGGAAAATTTGTCATAGAAAATACTTTTTGGATGTCAGTTTCAGAAAGACGCAGCATCCTTGAAAGTTCCTAAAATAATTGATGTCAGGCTGGGTTGAATTTTCATTGTTTCAAACCACATAATCAATACCTTTTCATCTTCTGTCGGTGACTCAGGAACAACTGTGTTGTACTCAGGAGGGGCGTCTAAAAGATTTACAGTAGTCATGTAGAAATTTACCAGTTTTTGTAAATTACAACAAGCAAGCCAGCCCTTGGTATCAATTTCCATATCTCCCTCTGTCTCTAAAACATAAATTAAAAAAAAATTATTTATATTTTTTAATAAAAAATTAAATAAATTAAAAAAATTAACAATACATTTGAAAACCGTTATTGATTAACAACTGAAAATTGTTATAGCATGTTATGCATAGTTACTTTTTATCAAGGAATACCTGAAGGAGTAACTTTTTCCAAAAAAATGTCAATTATAGATTGCATCAGTTCTGGAGACATATTTTTGGACAACATGGCTGACTCAAGCACTTGAAGACGAACTTCATCTGTAGTGAGCTGATCACAGAAATCAAGACATTCTTTTGAATGAATTTCTCTCTTCGAGAGAAGCAATCGCTTTATGTGTCTCAAAATATGGGCATCTTTCGATTTTACATTATTTTGGGTGCTGCAATCAAAGATTTATTTTAAACTACTGTCTATTTCTATAGTAAAACATGGAATTACCTCAAAATTGCATGAAACGGTATTATTATCTTAGTGATTTCCCCCTTATTATCTAAAAACACAGATGGGTGCTGACTAATATTTGCGGTTTTCATAGAAATACTGTTAGTGCCCATAAGACCATATTTAATGTAAAGTAATCTATAAAATAAAATAGTCCACAATTATTAACTAATTATAACTAAATATAAATATTTATAACTTATAAATAGAAATATTTTTACCGTCCATTTTTTGAGGCTTGAAACGTTACTAATTTTGGCCCTTGTTGAAGAGCCCAGACCTCAACAATTCCTTTTTTTGGAGCATAAATGGCTAGACACAAAGCTTTTCTACATGATAATATATTGTCTTCATCCTCATCAATAGACAAAAAACTACATTGGGCATCTCTATATCCCTTCCACATCCTGAGATTAATTTACAATTTTAAGAATTTTATACTTTATAATTAAAATTATTTTTTATAAGAAATACCTAAGGGCTAATCCAGATGAGTTATCCACCAGGATTACTCTGCCAAGTGCATCACAAACAGCACTCAAGTTCTTTTGGGGAGAAATATAAACCCTCTCACCTTTCCGGAGTTTATCGCACAGACCATATCTATAATTACAGTATGGCTAGTATAGCATAAACAGAAATGTCTTAAAGTTTTATAAATACCTGCAAGACATGGACTCTGGAGGCTCGATGGGTGGTTTTTCTTTAGACTTTTCTTCAACCCTCTTACTACCAACTAACCAAGTCCTGAAATATAACAGTTTATACTCTCAGAAATGTAATCCAAAAAGGGCAAAAAATAGCAATAACAACTAACTAACGGGACAGCACTGCCAATTGCCGATTTCAATTTTGAAGCAACAGCCTTAGCCACATCTGAAAGGACAGGTCCAGTTGTCCCTTCTGTGATACAATGCCATGCAAAATATGGTGAACTGCCAGCAGCAAGAATAGTCGATATTTGTGGGGGGCCATTTCTGTACAATGCAGTATACCCACCCCGTACAGAGGCTGTTGTTAGATGGGTGAACATGTTCGCAGAGCTTGAACCCAAGACACAGACATCGGAAACCACCTCTTGCTCTGGCAAACTCCATTTTACATGGTCCAGAGGAGGTGCATCAATTCTTTCCCCACATTTTGCTTGAACTGGTTAAGATATACCAATATAAAACATTGCTTTTTACAAGTCAATAACATTACCTCTAGCAAGCTGATTTCTGCATGCTTTTAAAGTATTGCAAAGGGCAAAACCTTGAACACAACACACGACCTTTCCATAAGATACATGTAACTCCTCTACTTGGGATGACATATTGGGACCGAACGCTGGCTGATAACTTTGGAACTTGAGAGAAACAACTGGCTCATCATGAAGTATTTCAGAAAGTAAAACGCCTCCTCTCTAATTCATATGATTATATTCAACAATGAAAATATTTCAATTTTAAAAACTTTCTAACGATAATTTACCTCAGTATAAAATCTCACAAACCCAGAGGAGAATCCAACAGCAATCGCAGTCCAATCCGCACCACAGTGTGCACTTAATTTGCCTTGTCCAGCCACAGGTAAACACAGCACTGATGTTATCCTCTCACTATATCAAATGCTTATTAATATATTTTCTACTAAAAATAATAAACAATTAAATTACGTGAATTGCTCTCTTATGTCTCCATTCCAAAAACTTGTGTACTTAATTTTAATGTCACTTTCTTCATTAGAAACCCATTTGCCTGAAAATTATCGCTTATAACAGAAAGAGGCCGTGAACAAAGAGATTTAACCTACCTTTAAGTATGAGCAAATTTCTGTCTCTTGCCAGTGCCAAAACTTCACTTGTGGGCGACAACGACACAAAACATTCATCCAACCAGTTTTCTTTATTTTTAGGCTTTGTAATGCCATCAACACTCCAGTTCCAAGAGTCATCATCAAAATCTAATCATGAAAATTATATTTATCTTATATAAAACTAATTCTTATAATGTCAATAATTTTGAAATTTATTTGCATAATAAATACACATAATATAAACACTACACTATACATAATATTGCTTGCAGAGGAGCAGCACATTGTGAACTAATTTTTTAAAGTCTTGGTCATTCTTTATTAAATTTCATTATGTGACTGATTTTCCATTACAGTACAGTTTTCTCAAATAGAAAGATCTTTGTCTTTTGCACTTGGGAAAACAACACATTTTGTTTTTGAAACACTGCAAGTAGTTCCTGAAACCCTACATTTCCATGTGTTAACCAAACATTTTATCTCAAAGGATTTTCTTTTGTAACAGCATTTCTAGCATTCTTTCCCAGACATCCACTAACTGACTGCAATCAAACCCAACTACTTACAAATGGGCTTTTTTTTCAAAAACACCAGCATCCCAAGGGTTCATATAACCTCATAGTTGAAATGCCATCGTTAAAAAGATGATTTGCAAGTAAAGAATCTGTTATGCTCCCTCAAAACCAAAACTCTTTTTTTTAAATGTTAGTTTTGGACAAATAAAAAGCGAATTGCTTCAATCAATTTATTTACACATACTGGCGCATTGTGGCACAAATCTGGCTCCCCTCTTCAGGGCTCGGAGTAATATCAAACCAAAATGAGATGGGCCCTGAAGGCATCTGCGTGAACAAATAAATTTATTGCTAGTTTGTTATTTATTTGTTCAAATCTATCACCAAACCCTTCGGTGCAAGAGAAATTCACACCATTTTAGACCAGAAGATAAGGTGAAGGTCTCATTAACACAAGAATCTCCTTGCTATGTTTGAAAGGAATCAATTTTAGAATCCATACGAGGAAGCAGGAAACTAAGAATTTTCAGAGTCAATGAACTCTGAAAAAATATTGATATCAATGAATCCAACATGTCGATTCCGCAAAGCTACACTGACAGATTTACCAACAGAACTTACACTCTATTGGAGGAAGTGTTTTGGGACTAGTCTCAAAACTGTGAAAGTAATACAAGAACAAGTAATTAGAACTGAAGATGTACTGTAATAACGTACTGTAGAACAAAAGAATCTGCTCTTGAAGGTAACAGAAATAAAATCGAATTTCGACACTGTTGTCAAATCCGAACAGAAACAATTATTTTGATAAAATTACGTTTAAAAAACTACGAAGAAAATATTTAAAGATTGATAAGTGATGAGTTAAACACATTATTATTATTATTATTGTTGTTGTTGGAAAGGTGGGTTGAACTTAACAACTTGACAGTAGAAATTGTTTTTCAATTCTTGTCACAGCCGGAATATTCACTACATAATGATTTAGCTGTTCACCTTCTGTGTCAGAGGTGTCGTTCGAATAGAGACATTTGATAACGTTGTCCAGGTCGGCGATCTGGGCGAACGTCTTAAACTGACAAGTCATTTCGTACAGGCTGCGTTGGTGTTGAACGACGGTCAAACGACCAGGGACGGACTGTTAGCTGACAACTTTTGGTGAAAACATGTCGTTAACATGACATTTCTTGTGAAGTTGACAGCTGTCGGACAGAACGGCGCAACTGGAAACTGGTGTCTCAACAGAGACGTTCCCAACCTTCAACCTACCGATAATTTAATCGACAATTATCAAGCTGTTTCATACGATATTTGCAACATTTTTATCGATGCTATGTATTCGATAGGATCGTGACGTCAAAGACGAAGCGCGAAGACAAGCAATGTTGATTTTGGTATTTAGGATGTCAATGTTCCAAATTTATCTTATATACATACATGTATATGTATGTTATAGTTATAAACTATCTTAGATATAACTAACACTGCATAATAGAAAAAGTGCATAGTTGCACTCTCTCCTCCTCTGGAAGAATGATTGTTTTCTTCTCTCCTCAACCCCTACAATAGTTGTAATTAATTATAAATAAACTTTAAAAAACGCCAATATAGGTATATTAATTATAATTGTATTATATTATTTATTACTTGTACAAATGTACATGTGTAAAGAATATGCAACAAAATAATCAAACTTTTCTCATATTTTTATTTGCTTTCCCTTCTTTTATATTTGTTTTTATATTTCTGTTGTTTAATTAAATTTATTTTATTCCGTCTCATTTCTTTTATATTTGTTTATATATTTCTGTTGTTTAAATAAACTTATATCATTCCTTCTCATTTCCTTCATGTCTTTTTATATATTTATATTGTTTAATTAAATTTATATCATTCTTTCTTATTTCCTTTATATTTGTTTAAGTTCAGTTGTTTAATTATTTTTTTTTAACATTCCTTCTCACTTCTTTTATATTTTTATACATATGTGCATTATGACAATACTTATATTTTATTTGTGTTTTTTATGGTGAATATGTCATGTTATGGGGAATATACATGTATGTATGTTATTGTTATATGTAAATTATTATTTATGATTCAATTATTTACTATTATTTATAAGTTCTTAAAGAATTTGTATTGGGTATATTTACCCATAAATATTGCTTACAACAAATTATCATTTCAATATTGTTAAAGATACAATAAAATTATTAGCCATCTACCAATAGATCATAATTTATCTATATTTGTATTATATGCCCCACCATGAATCATTCTCATATCTGGAAAATAGGTTCCGAATAGTTAATTTTTCTGAATTAAATTCTCAGTTACTTAATGGAGTTCCTCAAGGATTTCACTTAGGGCCACTTTTGTTTCTTGTTTTAATAAATGGCATTTACCCTGTGCATGATAATCTTGTTATTCTTCTCTTTGTTGATGATCTTAAGATTTTTAGACCTGTTTCTTCTTATTTTGACCACTTAATTCTCGATAGTAACTTAAATTCTTTTCATTCTTGTTGTTTAAATGATGTAAATCTTAATACTTCTTAAGATGCAATAATTCTAACAACTATGCTTACTCAGTGCATTAGAGTGAGTACAAACATCCTGTTTTAATACATTTTTTGCATAACTCTTTGTGGTTTTATTGTTTGCGAAAAGTTTTATTTTGAGTTGTAGCTTGTAACCTGATAAATAAATAAACTGTTCATTTGATTACATAAAAACTAGTTAAAAGACAAAAAATGAATACATAGATATAAAAAAATTAAATTGGTATACATTGACAAAAAAAAAAATAATAATAATAATAATATTACTCTGCCTGCATATTTGAGGGTTTTATAGTGCATATAAATCCTAGTCATTACAAACTTAACTTCTGATAACTTGTTTGAGCCTGATATCTCCTACTAGAAGTAGATTAAAATCTGTACACCAATGTATCTATAGCGCATTTCAGACATCATCATCTAATGAATAGCAAGATCAAAATAAAAAGTTATGCTTATTGCCGAATAAGGTATATTATGAAAAACAAAAATGTGACAAAAACACAAATTGACTACCGAAATATGACAACGCGTGACACCAGCAGTTACACCGTGAACCCCACCGAGATGACATGTTTACATTGACAACTGCAGGAAGTTGTCAGTGATATGATTGGGAGTTGATGTGATATTAGCCTTTTAGCCGGTAAACAAGGTGATTAGATTTAGCGAGGATCGAATATTTACTCTGTTGTTTAAACTTTGGCCGCCTGTTTTCACTGTTAGATGTAAGTTTAAACAAACCTACTACATTCGCAGCGACTATTTTGTTATTTTATCCACGTGTGGCACTCAACGAAATGAAATTCTCGGCCAAAACATTCAGCTTCTCGTTTTTCTACCTTCTTTATGCCTTTCTCGAAAGCACTTGTGATGACAACGTGGTCACAAACGACTCTGAAAAGGCAGAAGCTATTTGTATCCTTAATTAAAACATTTTATATTAAAAAAATTCGTTGGTGTATAAAACAAAAAAATTGTCATATTTTTCCTTCTATAAAACCCTCCTAGATGCTTTTTTCATTATTGACAGAAATGTTCTCTTTAATAAAAACGTATGTCTATAAAAAAGCAACTTAATGACTTTTTCATACTTGTATTCATTATCAGCATTAAATTTCCTATAACGATAGAGGTTTTCAGAATTTGTTCTTACCTTCTTTACATGTTGTGTTTCAACAGTCTGTGAATAATTGGGAGTGAGTCCATCTGAGTAAATAAACCTGATTATTTTTTGAAATGTGTAGCAGTTATTCGTCTACCATCCTCAATTTTGGATTAGTTGCTGTGGCCCAATCAATTCGAGAACAGTTTCATTGAGTTCAGCATACAGATAAACTTTTTTTTTTAAATCTCAACTGAAAACCTTAATTAATTGTAATATATTAATTGGTCAAGCGGACCACAAAACTAGTGAATTGAATATAGATAAACGTAGAAAACGATACCTATGATGTTTATTGGTGATATTTGTTCCATTTTTGGATTTTGGATGGTTTGCTGTGGTCCAGTCGTTTTGAGAACAGTTTCATTGATTTCAGTATATAGAAAAACATAGAAAATGCCACCCATGATGATTATGGTGATATTTGTTCCATTTTTGGTTTTTGGATCACAATTTTGTATGGTTTGCTGAGGTCCAATTCATTCGAAAAAAGTTTCATTGGATTCATCGCTCCAAAAAACCTAAACATACACAAATTGGGGAACGTACCTCAAATAGCTTGGGTGTGCTGAATTTTTTCCACTTTTTTGTTTTGGCCCCACTGTGCAACACAGGGTCATTTAGTGTGGTCTCCAATCACGAGTTAGACAGAGCCACAAAGTGATCCTCTGCCGGTTCAACATGAGTTCACTGGCTCACAGGCCAAAACCCATCATCAACAATAAATAAATTAAATTGAGCTTTAGGACTTCTTTAGCTTTTCAGCGTTTTATGTTTGGTCCTGATATTTTTGGCCCATTAATATGAGTTGTGAACATCCAACCAAATGTCGAGGTACCTTATTGTGGAAGACCAGTTTATTTCTTCGCTGCAAAGCTCCATATTGTGGGCCAAGTTGGTGTCTTTTCTTAAAGGGAAGGCTTCAGACTTGGTCTTATTCGCTCTAGATTCGTTATTATTTATTAAGCATAAAATATTACCTTTTGCTAGTTTTAAAAAACATTTTGAATGTAAAATATTCCATATTATGTCCTTATTTATGGATACTAGTTCGTAACCTTTATAAGGCTGAGAGAGCAGAGCAGTTAGCTGCAGTTAAATCATTACTTAAACTTGGAAAAGAAGATAAACAAAAACAGATGGTACAGACCATAGCACAGAAAGTTTTTGAGGTAAACCAAATTGTAAAAAAACTCGTACTCTTTTTTGAACTTTTTTTAAAATCAGGTTATTAAAAAGAGTAAAAAGACCTTGGAAAATGCAAGGTATATACCAGGTGAATCGAATTTCCCTTGGGATGAGAATGTCAGAGATGGTAAGAAATATTTGTATGTTTAAATTGTGAAGTGTAAAACTTATTTGATTTTCCAGCGCTGTCTAACGTCCTGGAAAACACTGCATTTTTTGGTGACATAATTTTGAGACTGCCAGACATCTCTCATGAAGTCCTCAAAGACAACTTAGAGTGGAATTATCTCTTGAAATGGGGACTCTTTTTCACTAAACAGACAGCCCTTGTCGATCAAAAGACACATATAATGCTTACTTTGGTTGTTATTTATTATTATTTTTTTAATACACTAAAAATTACATTAACATGTTTCTCCGTTTAGGTTAACCAGGAGATGAACTACACAGAGAGGCATGTCAATTTCACAAACCCTTTTAGGAAAAAGTCTATTGCTTTAGCAAAGGAAGAAATCCTCTTGACAATGAAGCCAAAGCCCAAAAAGAGGAAAACAATACCTAAAGGTCCACGTCTTTCAAGGAGAACAGATGATCTGTGAAAATGTCAAAGTTTTGGTTTCTTTGATCACTATGTGATTATTCTGTTTTGTTTATACGTGTTTTATCATATAAAACAATCTTGGTGATTTACTATGCTACAAATGTTACTTTATTTGATTTAACCTTATATTTCTGTTATACAATAAAATATATTTCGGTTTTTCATTAGTATGAGTCTATTATTGTTGAACCTAAATTTCCATCGTTCTTTTGACTGCCGACTGATGGTTGAAATAAATAGTCAATAATTTGTTTTTTAAATTTTTTTCTACTGAAAAATGGTTTAAACAGATTGAATAAATAGTATAACAAAATTATAGTTTAATAAAAAATAAAAATAGTTTAACTACAGATTTAATACATGTCATACACATATATACAATTAAAACAACTAACAATCTAAAATAAAAATAAATGTATTTTAATTACAGAATACCTTAACAGAATTAGGTAATATTGTTACTTTAATTGGACGAACTTCATAATCTTCGTTATCTATTGCTATACAATCTTCTTTTTCCTGTCAAATAGAAAACAATTCACAATTTATAACAAACCCATATATGTATTTAGTTGTCATAATTGACCATATTAATTATTTAAATTAATTACAATTTTTATCTAAGGTCTTGGTTGAGATGAAAAAGCTAGTGTCACGAACATTATTAGAACCCACAACCTTCTTCGGATAATGCGCTGCTGTTCTAACCACTTGAGAGCAAGCATGGCTTCTATTCATTCGGAAACCAATTCCTCATCCCTACAACAAAAGTCATGGGTTCGAATCCCGCTCATGACACTAGCTTATTCATCTCAACCAAGACCTTAGATAAAAAGTATAATTAATTTAAATAATTTATAATAAAATTGAAAAAACAGTTGACAAATAAGTTACAATTATTTTAATCAAGTAGTCCAAATGATTGTAAGTAGAACAAAAACCCTTTAAAACATTATTATATTCATCCAAAAATAAAAGTAATTTTATTTTTAAACAGCAAAAGGAAATTTATATATTCTACAAAATTGTGAAATCTAGAGTTGAGATCTATGATAGGTTGTTAAAAACATTCTCTTGTCTTTTAATATTATATCATTAAAATGATTTTCAAGGTTTCTAATGGTTAATTAATGCAGTGATTCCCAAACTGGGTGCCACGGCCATGCTACAAGGGCGTCATGAAATTTTCTATAAAATATTTTATATAAACTAAACCCCTCTTTATAAAACCCTAAAAACTCATAATATGTGGTCTGGTGTGACGTAAGTGTTAAAAAAAACATTTTCTTTATCGTGCCAACGTTCGATCTTTATTGAGATTATCTTCAGGGCCTGGGATTTGTAAACATTGCTTGAATTTTACAAAATACACGTGGGATGTGGAAAAAAAATTATGAATTTACACAATGCTAGAAAATTTTAGATTAAATTTTTTTTTTAAATTTATGCAAATGCTAGACAATTTTAGATTTAAAAAAAGAATGAATTTATACAATGCTAGAAAATTTTAGATTAATTTTTTTTAAATTTATACATTGCTAGAAAAGTTTAGATTCAATCAAAGTGTTTGTTTTCCATGTAGATGTGTCATTCTTGAGTTGTGTTGATAGTGCTAGTGAGATATTGCTGTTTTATGTATATATACATTGGATTTTAAAGGGTGGGGAAGGAAGTCAGGATAGAAAGACATTTTTATATGAGGAGTCGGCTTCTTTGAGGTGAAAGGAGCCAACCATGGGAAAAAACGTGGGTAATGGTTCAGCCTGAGTATCCTTTCAGGATTATATAGACGGGGATAATTAGAGAAAGGAAAGCCAAACTGTTGAAGAATTAGACTATGTAGAAATGTTTTATGTGTGGAATGTGATGATTGTTTTATATGTTATATGTTTAGTGTGATGTGATGATATATGTATGTTATTGATATTGAATTTGATTAATGATAATGCTGCAACTGAGTTTATATGTGTCTGTTATGTAATTGATGGATGTACAGTAACTGATTTCTCTGTTGATGTAAACCATTTCTAAAAAGTTATAGAACAAAACAAACATAAACGTATCTTTTTATAAATGGTTTACATCAACAGAGATAAACACAGCATCAACTACAGAACAAGCACTTGTAAACTCAGTCGCAGCTATGCCAATCAAAATGTTGGCACGATAAAGGAAATGCTTTTCTAAAACCTATGCCACACCAGACCGCATCTCACGATATTCAAATAATCATCGACTAACGGTCACTAAACACCACACATAATAATTAATATTTAAATATTTACCTTGGAACGGTAATTGACTTTCTCTAAAAGTGGAGTTATTTCAACTTGTTTTGCTTCTAGTTCGTCGACCACAACTGAGTCATTTTCTTGCAACAATTTGAGACCATCGGACAAAAGTTGGCCTTGATGGTCAACTACTGGACCTTTAACGAAAAAATAATAAATAAACAGTCAATTATCTGATTAATTGGCCTTACCAATTTTCAGTGTGATTTTTGGAATATTACTAATCTCATTTGATATGCTCGTTGTCAAGTACAAGTCTGATGTTTTAACAACCTTCTCCTCCATAACAGAACAGTGCTCATTATTTATCTTTGTGTAATCAACTGCTGGCTCGACTGCTACTTAAAAAAATAGTATGATAAAATTACTAAATTTAAAATTAAAGGTTTTATCCTACAAATTAAATTCTGATTCATACTGAAAACAGAGTGGTTGGAGACAATAATAATTATGAGATTTACTTTGTGTCATGAGCCTTCGGTTTTTCAATGAAGAAAAATTCCACCATTTTGATGCATTTGGTACAGGCTCAGGCTTAATGACGACCAGGTCTGGCCTATATTTGTAGCATTTGTTGCAGCCTGCACAAGGAGGTGAGAACCTCAATCTGGCCTGGATGAGTCCACGGTTGCTTGTTGTGTGAACTGAAGAGCCATGGAAGACAAGGGTGGCAAACTGTCCCAGTGGGCCTAGGTACCAAAAGTTCTCTGCTTGCCTGCGCAGCTCTCTGCGTAATCCCCATTCCAGAGTGCCAACTCCATATACAGGCTTTGGGTTTGACTCTTCAGCTTTCTAAAATAAAAATTTAGACATAATAAATAAATTGTTTTGTAATATTAAATGAATAATGTTACATCTAATGGTTCTATCCTGAAGACATCAATAGGTTTTGTGTTTCCTTTAATAATTGCCATTGTAGCCTGAGCCATTTTTTCGACTTTGTTGGAATCGTCTCTCTCAAAGAGAATCGAGGCTAGAGAATTTCTCTGTCCTAATGGCAAAACACCAATTGGTATCTTACACAGCTCACCATTACTCCTCATCAGTCCAGTAACAGCCTAAATCAATTAACCAGAAAACTTAAATAAATAAAAAATAAAAAAATAAAAAATGAATTAAAAAAAGTTTCTTACTTCAGATAAAGTTCCATCTCCACCGGCAATGACCAAAGCATCTGTCCTTGGATCAATTTTATCCACTAAATTTCTGGCATGTCCTTCTTTTTCAGTCTCTAATATAGAAACATATACACCAGAAAGGTACAACAAGGGTGCACAGTAGCTCTCAAACTGTTTTTTAGCTCTCCTAGAATTTATTGTTATTATTTCTTCTGTTATTTTATGAAAATTAATCAACTGAACTTCTTATTAGCAGCAGGGTTGAGAATGACTGTGATCCTCCTGACTTTGTGCTCTTTCCCCACTGGAGCATCACCATACTTCAAAGCACTCTCACAGTATGCTCTCATCAAACATGACACCCTAAAACCACATAAAAGGCAAACATTAAGATCTTATCATAAAATTGATTTATAATGTGATAATAATGATGTGATTATAAGAATTTATCATAAATCGAATAAGTAATCAATTCTACACTTGATACATTGAATAGGATCATCATTATCATAATAATCATAATTCCTCATTTACATGTGTATTCTGTCAACCCCCACCCACTTCTTCAAATAAACATGCAAACTGCTAGTAAAATTAATAAGAATATAAATTTTATAACTATCATATTATTATTTCTTTTTTGTATGACTGCTAATGGGCAGGAACCTATATACAAGTACCTGTATATCTAGTTATTTATATAAGTTAGTTTAGCTAAACTAAAATGTATAACAATGGTATAAAGTTTTCTATAAAATAAAAAAAAATAAAAAAAACAGGTTTTTTATTTATTTAGAAATCTCTATATATACAAAACAGGTTTTGTCAATTTGTAATTTTCACTTCTCCCTCTGTCTCCGCTTTATTGAAGTGGTTATACCTTATCCTTCACATTCACAAAGGATATGTATGTCTTGTTCCTCCTGACAGAGTCCATCTTCTTTAAGTGGTAGTTAAGAGGGCAGAGGTCAATATAGAGATCTATACTATTTTCCTCAAATCCTACCTGCTGATAGAGAGAGAGAGAGAGAGAGAGAGAGAGAGAGAGAGAGAGAGAGAGAGAGAGAGAGAGAGAGAGAGAGAGAGAGAAGTAAGTTCATTTGCCTTCCTTGTATTTGTAAATCTCTTAGCTTGTCTCAGGCCTGGTGTTTTCTTTCTCAAGCCATTATTCCAGGCTCCAACTTTAGCACACTCTCTGATGCACATAGTTGTTCTGGTCCCATTGGTAAGGAGGCTGTCTCTTCTTTGTTTTTTCACACAGTCACAACACTAACACTAATGCTAGTGCTGCATCCAAAAGACACATGCCACGAGAATCCAGTCTATGCTGAGACTCAATAGAGGGATTAAGGAGCCCGGTTTTAAGGCCATCATCAATTATGGTGACATGGCAGGTTCTCGGGTTGGGATTGTGTAGAAAGGGCTCAGGAAATAGGGTTTAGGCTGGATCGAGATGTTGGTGTGAAATTTTTAGAATTGGGAATGGATCAGTTTGTTAATATAAAGAGAGTTGAGGTCATTTTGGTGTATTACGGAGCTCTGATATTTGTCTGAAGGCTTTCTATTAGAAGGATTGTATGTTCTATGGTATGGCAGGACCCCACAGTTCCACTCCATATGTCCAAAGTAGTCACAGTAAAGTCTTCTATCAGGTTAGTTAGTGTTGAAGTCAAGAAAGATTTCAACCCTATTAGTCTTTATCATTTTTCCAAGTCTTTTATTAAGTTTTGTCTCTTAGATCTTGTGTGGAGATTCCATGTCAGTCTGCTGTCTATGTGTAGTTTTAAGTGTTTGATTGAAATGGAAATCGGTATTGCTTTGTCATTGGTATGCAGTGGTTTGTCTTTGTTTTGCACTAGTCTTCACTAGTTTTGCTCAAGGTGTTCTTGCATGTTGGAGATGGCTAGGATAGGGCTGGAAAAAAATTAAGGCTTCATCTTTTATAGTTCTTCTAGGTTTAACTTCCTCCTAGTGAATGGTACAAGAGATGTTTTCTTAGGGCCAATGTTTAAGCCCATTTCCTCATAACAACAATTTTTAGGGTGTTTTGCATCTGACTTGATAGTGTCTTTTCTCTTTATGATTGTTACCAGCTCATCTGCATCACCTATGGCATGGTATTAAGTCGTTAAGCTCTGAGATTAGAACTTCTACATCACAAAAGTACCCTACCTTTGAGTGCTATTTGTTAAGCCAGATAAGAAAGTTCAATGCATTTTATTCTCATGAGCCACTTTGGGCTTTATTCCGCTCTTTATTTATTCTCACCTATGCACACACCTATGTATGTATTCTTTTAAATTACACCATTGTAGTGAAACAGGCAGAGGGAGCCAGGCCACCTCGGTGCGAGAGACAGCACCACACGAGTACCTCTCACAGTTCTGATGACTATATGGTTGAGAATTGAGGGCAGGCACAGTGCAGAGGGATGCAGCTCCAGCATCGCTCACTAATTCGTGCCTCATTAGGTGAGGTCATTATCACCTCATAGGTCTGCTTATCTGACATCTTAGAATTGCTAATACCCAGCTGGTAGTAGAAGGGAACTCTTTCTTTACACTCCCTCTTACGAGGTGCGAAGAACATTGTCATCTGTTAATTACCAATGACAAGGAAGTTCCATACAAAAATTCTACCAAGCAAGAAGAAACCTTGCCATTGTACCATACCAAGTAAATTTACTTTTTAGTTTTCGTTAAATTTGACAGTTATGTCTTTTACAAAATAATTTATTTTGCTTTTGAAATCATATGTTATTTCTTGATTGTGCTTTTGAATTTTATAAGCCACATGGCTACAGACCAAATTGAGCTAATGATACTGGCTACTTTTTTTTCTGACAGAACAACAAACTTGTTTAGTATAAAAGCTAAACAAATTTTATATAAGAATTACTTGCTACAATGTTAAAATTAGGTAAATAAAACCTGAAAGTTTATATTTGAAACTTGTTTTTGAAGTTTTTATATTTGCATATCCAGTATATGTAGCGCAATTTGTTATGAAAATAAAAATTAAAGAAAACTGTACCTATACTGATCTACGGCATAGTCAACTCCGTAAAAGACGACCCCTGTCGCGAAGAGACTCTTCTTCCAGTTGTTTCTCACCACTTTAACCAAATTGGCAATTTTGCCCATTTCGGAAGTGTTTTTTCTTTTAACTTTTGTACAATTTTCGTTTCCAACTTCAACGGAAAGGCCAAAATAAATGCATAAGGTTTGAATTTGGAATTTAAACGAGCTACAAAGTGAAAATAGTTTGACAAGTAACCACACGCGTAGACTTCCCCTAATCGAATATCACCATGCGTGCCTTGAGAAGTTCGGCCTTGCCAGACCGGCCGCTGGGCAGAGGCATCACAAACATTTCTGGTGAGGGGAAATTTCATAATAAATAAGAAACAGGAATGACAAATCTTTTTTTAAGTGAATAAACTAAAAATTGCAACGGTAAATCTTTTTATAAGAATCATATTGAAAAACCACAGATTTATATTATGAACTTTGGTTTTGGATCTGTACTCAAAATCACTCTATAAAATAATGAAAAACATGTAAAAATAGGACGATAGATTATTATTTAATAGAGTATTTCCAAACAGACAATAAATCTGTGACTACACAAAAACAAATATTTTATAGCGACAATACACTATTTACATTCTAAGCACTTTTACTGATACTTGTTTCTTATCCCTAAGCGAATATAGATCATTATACTATTCAGAAATGTTTAAGGCATTACATATTTATTTTTCTATTAAATGTTATTTTTGAAATATTATTGCACTGATTTATATAAGTTCAAATCTGCACATGTATGTTCATGCACATGTTCTCACAGTCAACCGGTTTCAGCTTTTGCAATTTACCATAAATTACTAACAGGCCTTGAGAATCGCCTAAACAGGTGTTGGCAGTTTGGGGTCAGACCTCAGTATTATCCGACAAGTCGCTGATGTTCGAAGGACTGACAGCTAGATCCTCTCAGCCCCAACAAATCAGGTCCTAAAACCAAACCCATTCATACTCATCTTAAATACATTTTTTTTTATTTACATGCTATTCATTCAGTTAGGAGTACTCAATATTCCTCCATAACCATTTTCACCTATTAGATGACTAACTTAATTGAGGGTTGATGAGTATTCCGCTATCGAAAACATACACGGGCTTTGGCCCAAAAGTAAGAGTCTATTTCAACCTTGCATGGCCTATTCTTAATCGGATGAAGATGACCCCCTCTTCTGAGTCAAATCTTCCGAGTGTAACTTTGATTTTTAATTATTTTAATGGTTATATAAATTCTGATTCTAATTTATATGTCTGTGAAGTCTTTTCCTGGAAAAATGTACAGCCACTTTGGAAAGTAGTTTGACTTCCATGGCTTGTCACATGTTTCAGCACTTTCCTATCAGGGGATAAGTTTATTACTTTCTTCCATACACAATAGATCTAGTTAGGACCAGGGATCCAGGATTAAAAAGTAATTTAGATTCCAGGTTGAAAGAAAAGGTTTCAAAAAGATAATGCAAAAGAAGCTGATTGCCTAGCGAAGGACACGGTAAAGGAAAAATATTCCTCATTGTGTAACTCATAAGAATTATAACATTTCTAACACTAGGAAAAGACTCCAAACCAACTAACAGGTTTAAAATATCTTTCTAGTTCAAAGCATACAAAATTTGATGTGTAGAGTTGTATCAATCATAACGTCTGTGTAATATATAATAAGGTTGTTATAAGGTATGCTAGATGATGAACCTATAGTTCGATCATCACCAATCACTTTGTCTGCCTATTTTCACTGATTTTGTCATTCATTTCACCACTTTAAGTTTTGAGTTTTGAAGTTCGTTAAAAATATTTTTTAGACCTTTACTATTAAATTCTGGAAGATAGAAAACGGTTATGCATGAAATAAATAAATATAGGTGCAGAGAGGTTAAAGAAAATGGTACAAATGTATCTAAATATATATTTCAAAAATATCAATATTTAACAGTTAACAATAAACCTTATGTCAATATAAAAATAATAAAAATGCCCTTACCGAACTCCAAAGTATATAAATCAATATGAATTAAGTTTCATATTTAAAACAATAATTTTAAAAAATATATTTTTTGGTCACTTAAAAATCAACAATGATTGAGGCTTTTTTTAAAAAGGCTTCTTTTCTTTATGTATAAACCAAATTTTTGGGAGGCTGTATCTATGTTTTTAATATTTCAAGCTGTTTTGAAAGCATATTTTGTTATGATTCATTCTACAATTTTGATTGAGTGACAGAAGCCTTAATTTCTAGTCAGTCTTCACACAGTGACTTCGCTTCCTCCTCCTCTTCCATAAGTTCTTTGGCAGTCACATCCAATTTTGACCTGGAGAAATCGTCAAGTGCGAGCCCCTAAATGACAAATAATTTTCTAACTAAATGACATAGTAATTCATGTAGTAGTAATGACATCTTTCTAATTTGATAACCAAAATCTCTTGACCTCAAAATGTCAAGGTCAATGTTGTAAAGAAGTTGATAAATTTTATCAATGTCACTTTATTTATAATAACACACAAAAAACATAATCTTGTTTATTATGTCAGAAAATATTCCTACGTATAAAAATATTTTTCAAAATTATACAAGAGGTTTTTCTAAAATTAAAGACGGTAAAAAAAGTACTTCTGATTAAATGTTTAAAGCTAATCTTATCATGCAAACAAATTAACATCGACATAACAGCCAATAAAAGAAAAATTATTACAGATAATATAACAAACCTGCACTATTTTCCACTGTTTGTTCTGGACAGTAATTGGGAATGAAAACATGAGTCCAGGACGAATACCGTACGAACCATCAGAAAGCACTGCCATTGAGACATTGGTGCCTGGTTTGGTACCATGCCAGAGGTCCCTCATGTGGTCCCCAGCAGCCTTAGCGGCTGACATGGCCGAGGACATCTTCCTAGCTGCAATAACAGCAGCACCCCTTGTTTGAACCTTCTGTAAAAGCAAAAAACAAACTTAAACTAGCAAATACAAATATATAATTAGAGATAATATTGTATTTGTGTTGCATGAAAAACAAGTAGGTTCAAAAAATTGTCTCACGTACTATAAAAAAAGTAAAAGAGAAGTACTTAAAAGAGAAATTTGTTTATGGGTGAAACATCGTTGTTCCTTATGATTAGGAATTGGCCAATATTTTATTGAGACTTACAGTGACAAAATCGCCTTTTAGCCAGGCATCATCCTTGAGTAATTCAGGTACTGGTTTGCCATTGACTGAGGCATGGAAGGCATCAGGGAACTGAGTGGATGAGTGATTGCCCCATATGTAGACGTTTTTAACCTGATCAACCGGCACTCCAAGCTTTGTGGCCAATGCTGCCTGAGCCCGGTTTTGGTCAAGCCTTGTCATTGCACTGAAGTTTTCTTTTGGGATCGAAGGTGCAAACTTAGCACACATAAGTGCATTTGTATTAGCGGGATTTCCAACCACCAATACTTTAACTGACTTCTTGGCGTATTTATCGAGTGCCTGACCCTAGAATAACCAAAAAGAGATAGCACAATTACAGTGTATATAAATGGTGGCTTTAATATAATTTAGTATTACCTGATCCTTGAAAATTTTGACATTTGCAGAAAGTAGGTCCTTCCTCTCCATACCCTTCTTTCTTGGCATAGACCCAACCATAAAAGCAGCATCAACATCTTTGAAAGCAACTGAAAGATCTGTAGTTGGCACAATTCCTAAACAAAATATTTAAAAAAAAGTTTTAATTTTAATATAAATTACAAATTGAAATGAAACATGATCTTGAGAAATTGAAATCTGAACCATTTTAAACCTTATGTCAAGACATAAAAAACAGATTACTTTTTGTACAATTACTTTATCAATTACTAATATCAAATAACTGACAAGGTTTTTGAAATAGCATACTCAGGAGCACCATTGTATACAAATATATGTATAGTGAAGATTTCCACTACAATTACATCCATGCAAGGAAACTATCCTCAAACGTGCTTTAGTTCATAGTAAAGGTCACATCAACATTGTCGTGTGGCCAAATGTGCTCTGCAATGAATGTTTCAAAACTAAACAAGGGGGCTCCAGTGGCCACAATGGCTAAGGCATTCACATGTATAAACTACTTACTTAAACCACAAAAATTAGATGTATTAAACACTTTTGGGCTTATGAATAATCTAGATCTTGATGTCCTTTAAATAAAAAAATAAATTCAATTTTTTATCTGCCAAGCTTTCGACCTATTTTTGGTCAACATCAGGGAAAAACGATCTTAAATATGTACGCACATTGAAATAAATATGTCTTTTTTTTGTTTGAAACTTAATTATGTAGATTCATAGACATTTTTAAGATTGTCTTGCCTTGACGATGATGTTAAAATAAGTGAAAAGCTTGGCAGATAAAAATTGATTTTTTTTTTAAATTCAGGTCTTACTGAAATACAGATTATTTAATAGTCATCAAGATATGATTATTTAACAGTCTATCAAGATATGATTCAACACCCAGGCCTAATCTCTCAAAGATTTTGACGTAGATAACATCAACATGCACATTTTATCTTTTCTTGAACACATAAAAGGGCTCTGCTTACACAAAAACCACATAAACACACCATTGATAAAAACAAAACAAAATAATCTTACAAAAAAATTTACAAAATAATAACAGTTTGAGAATAATATGTAAGGCAATTTAAGATTCAAAATAATCCGTAAGAATTTAGGAACCTGTAGTTTTGGATTTATGTACTGTGGATGAACCGAGTCGATCAAACTACATGTTCATGACTTCACAAATGACACAATAAATATCATGTGACCGAATGACTAGTCCAACTTGTATTTGCTATGTTAGCAGTCCTGAGAGCTTGAATCCCGCCCAAAAAAATTCATCTGCTTTATTTTTAAGTTGTAAAATAAAATGTAAATCTCAAAAATGATGTGTTATTAAGTCTAAAAATTATTTTTACTCCGCACTAAATCCTGATTAAGCAAAGTATATTAACGTTTCATTGTACAGTTTCTAATCAAATAAATAATATTTATCTAGTAATTATTTTAGTAATCTAAAAAAAGACACAGTTGTTGATGAAATAGGTTGTACTGTAATTTTTCAAAACAGGGGTATTCATAGAAATAACAAAGGTGGGGTGAGCATGTTGCTCATATTCAAGGATATTCTTTTAAATGAAAATATTAAAAATTAAAGTTAGGATTTTAAGTAACAAACACTCTGTTTTGTTGGCAATATAATTTCCTAGCAATTAATTGAGAGAAGTATATGTATATCTGAAATTTACAATCAATTACTTAAAATACAGTAAATTGTAAAAAAAAAAAAAAAAAAAAAAAGAGAGAGAAGTGCCAATTACATAAGCTAGAATAATAAATAATAAGGAATGAAGATTACAACAATTCTTTTATTGAAGCAAAGATACAGAAACGTCCAATTGCCAAAAACAGTCTCATGTTTTCCAATTTAAACGAATGTTGATTCATTCCTAGTCTTATATTCATTTTTCTATGATGAATTCTTTAAGTTCTGAATGATTTTCTTTTGTTAACCTGTTTAGATATATCAGTGATGTCATAAATAGATATAAAAAATTATTTTTCCCTAATATGCATAAGTGACCCGTTTTTCCTCTTTCACAATTTTCAACTGGTTTTAGATCACGTGACCGTAAATTATGCTGATTACTTTCACAATCCACATTCAATTTATTTTTTTATTTATTATTATCTTGTTACCTTTGACTAATGGAAGAGCGCAGTCGAATATCTCCATGACGACGCCCTCCAGAACTTCCATCATCGGTGGGATATCAAGGAGGTGAAGATAAAGGGGTTGGTTCTCGCCAAAAACATCCCCCTTGGCCAATTGGTAAATGAGCGAATATGCGATCTGTCCGGCGGCGCCGGTGACAACCACTCTGATCGGCTCGAGCTAAGGAAAATTAATTAGAAACCAACAATACAATAAAAATCGGCGTTATATGTGTTATGGGCATTTACCATTTTGATATCTGAGGTTTTCAGACTAGACGTTTCGATCAAGACGACAGCTGAATTACTGAACTTCTGAAGGCTCAATTGTGAATGGTGGGATTGTCATTTGTCAGTTCATTTCACTAATCGAGTTGGAAGAGAAAGATCAGAAGGTTCAAGGATCCCACTCGACAACCGGCGAATATGCCCCTGACAATCGCTGATTGATAGAAAACCACTTGTCATAATGAATCTTTTTTTTATTGGCGATTATTTATTTAGACTGAAAAAAAGTCGACTGTTACATAACAAAACAAAAAATAATATTTATGCAATGACCGCATAACGTAGTTGAATTTATGATCGCAAATCGACACAAGTTCCACGTGTATTGTCAAATCGATTGTTACTTTCCTACCATTTTTTAAAATTTAAATTCTCACATTTCAGTTGTGAAACAAGGGCGTGTTATGCATCGGCTTCATACTGAGAGCGTGTAGGCATGCCGCAGAAATTAAGAATGTTCTCGGGCACAGCAGTCGTTTTCTGGGTTCCCTGTTCCGTTTTTGGTTGTGGGTTTTCTCACTGTATATAGTTATAATTGTATGTGTTTTGTTTGAATATGTGTATTTATTAGCGTGAGTGGTAATGGTGAAATGTAGCATCATCATCGCCTCTCCAACAGTATGTATGTGTTAAGGATCAATAGCAGAATATGTATAAAAAGTACCCCATCGACCTAATTTAGCTTAGATTATTACACAATGTTTAGGTCGATCAAGGAATATCCAGTACTACACCGATTAATCAGAATGAATGCAATGCATGAGTGTATTTATTTATGCAATTGACTGTCTAATTTAATTAGTATTAGGCTAGATTATATCTTGCATGCGTTTGGGGCTAAATGACAGCTGTCGATTGTTCTCACAGTTGGTAGGAATGATCTCCTGGGCATTTGGCTTAAGGGGATACTAGCGACCCAGCCACATAGGGGTGGGTGTACTACTCCCTGATATATATACATTACGGTCTGCGCATCAAGGAGTGACAACCATTCGTGGTGAAAGTCTGAACAAACTGTTTAGCACCACATATTACGCTGCAATATTCATTGAGGATTTTGAGTTAAACCAAACATAAAGCTAGAGTTTAAATCAATTTAAGGCATTTAAAAATGTGAATTTCAACACAACTAAATCTTATCCTAATAAATACTGTAGGAAAATAATTTTAAATTAGTGAATAATTTCTATTCCAAATATTATTTAGGTACACCCCACCTTTATCATTTCTATTAATTTTCTAGCCAAAGCCACCATGCATAATAATGCAATTAACAATACTACTACCACTTACTTAAATTCAGCCAGTAAACGAAAACTTTTATAACTTTGTTAGAAATTAAGACTTTAAGGCTCAAAACAAATCAATCTGGTTCAATTCCCAATGCTTGAAATTAGGCTTAACCCCAAACGTAGTTCTTGCTAAATTAAATAAAAAGAACTGTTCAACTCTCTTACAGCCAATTAAATGCCATAAAACCATATTAAATAATGAATTATATAAATTATATAGATATAAAACGTTTTTGCCAATATCATGTTAAAGTAAAATTTAGCATTGATAAAAAGCAAAGTACACACACACACACACACACACAAAAACCATGAAGAATGGTACGTTTAAAAATATGCATAAAGACCAAACTACTTCAATTAAATTTTACCCACGCGTTATAAACTTAACATACATGGTTCTAAATAAATAAGGAAACAATTTATTAAATAAAGGCTTAAAATTTATCCCAAAAACAGAACTAGATACAACAAAACTATTATCCCTTGTTTCAACAGTTGATTTTCGTAAAATAAATACAAATATAAAATATTAATGTGCTGAAATAATTAAACCAAACTTAATAAATTTAAACGTTAAAAAAATAAATATCCCACGTACAATTAGGTTTAGTGATAGAAAGTTAAAAGATAATGTTATTTTAAAAGCCGATAATAAATATAGTTATCATTGAACACCAAAAAATGCGTTTATAAAGTTGAAGAATTCCTAAACAATAACGATTGTAAAGAAATAAAAAAGATCCCACCTTAAAATTAAATCCTAGAGTTCAAACAGCTATTAAAAAAATTCTAACTTTCTATTCTCAAATGACCAATATGCAGTTTAAAAACTTATACCAATGAACTTGAAACCACACAATGTTATATCGTATGGCAAAATTTACAAAAAAACTGACCTATACGACCAGTAGTGTCCTTTTATAATTCTTCATGCTACAAACTCGATGAAAACCTAATGAATCATTTTCGGTGGGGTGGCTGAGTCCTGAGAGTTGGTTCCTTTAAAGTTAATTTTTTTAAAACTCTTTTTACTAGCAACCTATTGTAAATATTTCTTGATATCCTTTAGCTAAGGTTTTAATTGATTGTAATTCGTTTTTATAATTAGGAAGTGTTATTGGGAATTTAACCACGTTTTTCCCATTGTTGGTTTCTTTCACCTCAAAGAAGCCAACTCCTCATATAAAAATGATCCCAACTGCCTTCCCCACCCTTTCAAAATCCAACGCATATATACATAAAACAGCAATCACTAGCACTTTCAACACATGACAGATCTACACAGAAAGCAAACATTTTGTGTGAGAACAAATACTTTGATGGAACCTAAAATTTTCGAGCATTGTATAAATAATTTTTTTTTAATCTAAAATTTTCTAGCATTGTATAAATTCATTTTTTCACATTCTACATGTATTTGTAAAATTTAACAATGTTTATAAATCCCAGGCCCTGAAGATGATCTTAATAAAGATCGAAATGTTGGCACGATAAAGAAAATGTTTTTCTAAAACCTACATCACACCAGACTGCATCTCATGATCTCCAAATAATCTAAAAACTGGCACTCTCAATACGACACGCAATAATGGCACACTTATGCAGAAAACAAACACTTTGAGTGAGTAGAAATACTTTGATTGAATATTTAAAAAAATATTTCTTTGAATTGTATAAATTCACTTTTTTCCACATACATGTATTTGTTAAATTTAAACAATGTTTGTAAATCCCAGGCCCTAAAGATGATCTCAATAAAGATCGAAACGTTGGCACGATAAACAAAATGTTTTTCTGAAACCTACAACAACGTGTTGTTCTCACGATTTCTGAATAATCATAATCTAGAAAGTTTAAACAACCGTCTTTATTTATTTTCAATGCAAAATTTATACTAGGTGTAAAGAATTAATTGATTGCAAGAATTCTTTTAGATCCTCTTGTGTCTCTGACCGTATACATAATATATCGTCTCCAAAGCTTTTCCAAAAAAGGGCAGATTTAATTTATTTGATTTGAAAAGAATTTTTTCAAAGTTATCCATGAATATTTTGGCACAAAGGGGGAATACTGGAGACCCCCCCCCATCAGTAACCCTTCTTTTCATAAAATTTATTATTAAATGCATGATAATTAGATATAAGGCATATAGTTAAGAGATTCGTTATATCATTTTTTACAAATTTGTTTACAGAGTTCTCCTAAGTTTTGTTTTAATAGTTTAGTACATTCTTTAACAGGTACATCTGTAAATAAATTAATAACATCAAATGACTCTAAAACCCAATTGTTAGGAAAATTAATGTTCTTTAACTATTTTATCAACTAAAGAATTGTTAATAATGAATGTAGGTTTGAAATGGGTGTGGGTTTATTATTTTATGTATTGTTATCGAGAGTTTGTATAGGTTTGTATTCTTAATTAACATTAATTTTATGAACTGACAGTATTGAACCCTCTTAGTACATTCCTGGCCATCAGAATTTTACAACAAAGTCAACTGCTACTAAAAGATTTGATTTTTTTGAAGACATATTTGTTTACAATCATTGCCATGGAATATTGCATAGAAATTACCTAAATTTGTTTTTAAAATTTATGAAAAAATGCCCTCAATCCTTATTTACTATAAAAAAATAATAATAATAAAACATAAATTATAGTGTAGATTTATCCTGTTTTTTTACCCAAAGTAACGAACTAACCAGACATCCTTGACATCCTTTTAGCTCAGGAAAGTTGTCGCTGATGAGGAGATGTGGAGTCCCGAAATACAAAAAACTGGTTGTTGAGTTTACGATTGTATCATTCTAGACTTATATTTTCAAGTAACATCGGAAAACAATGAAGTGTCTGCTAGAAACAAATAGAAGACAGGAGTTGAGTATTTTGAACTAGGTTTTGGTTTTAAATGTAAAATGAATATACTATTTTCGAAGTTTAATTTAAATGCAAAAAACAGAGTAGCTGTGTGGGTGGGTGTGTACATATTCAATTTTTGTTTTGTTTGATATTTTTGTTCCAAACTATTTTACAAATATGGACAAGGATTTTTCATTTTAAATTTCAACCATCCTGTATCAATACTATCAGTACATCAACTTTTTTTCATATTTAGTATTAGCAATTATATTAGCATGGTTGTTTACATAACCTCTGATGTATATTTTTTAATAATTTAGTTCATATAAACATTTATTGTTACATAAATTTGATGATAAACTTAGTCAAATTGTGATGGTAATACATATTCCTGAACATTAATTGTTGATTGTATGTAATCTTAGGCTCATAAAATGTTTCTTCTTTTCAAGATTAGATAGCCTAAACTAATAATAATTACCTATAATAGCTCTGTGTATACCAAAGTTTTCCAGTAGTAATTAGTCAGCGCATAAGGAAATGTGTTACAATGGTTTTTACTCTAGCTGCATTAGACGTAGTGTTCTCTCTTTCTGTTTTGGCTCCACTTGTTATTATGTTTTGGAAATCTACATGGGGAATTTTCCAAAGATATAGTTTTATTTTTCAACCTTGGTTGCAGTTGACAGTCTCGTTAATTGTGCTCATTGTGATTGCCGCTATAAAAGATGCATTTTTAAAGCTGCCTCATAAAAGTTGGAAATTTATGATTGTTTGCCGTATGTACATATACTTCAGAGGAATAATCAACATCGGCATCTGGAGGTGTGAATGGGACATTATGGACAAGTATTTCAAGACTGACGCCACTGTGATTTGCCTAATAGCTGGTTTGATATTTTTTGTTGTCATGAACGGCATGATGAACTTGAATTCTGCACCATTGTACATAGCTGTGGACCACAATCCAGAAGATGTGTATTCTTTTCCTACAATGTTCAAAATTGTGAGTATGGCACTGGAAAATACTAAATTATTATAATTGCTAATAGTAGTTGATTTGTCGAGACAGACAAATTTAGTAAATATTTGCAGACAGAGTGGTTGAATAGTCCAGTAGATTGTCTGTTATGAAGGGGGGATTTAAAGAGAGGGGAGTGCTGGAATATTGTTGTCCCCCAGATTCTGCTTGAGGATGCGTGGGAGCACAGCAGGGATATCGGACGGTCTCAAGGGTAGTTCTCACATCCACTATTTATTTCTAACCACTTTGGACCACTTGATATCCTCAGTAATAATTTCTCCTCTTGTCATCAGCTACTGGAGAGGAACTTGGGGAAGTATGGATTATTTTGTATTTTCCAAAAACCCTCGTTATAGCAGTGCTGTATCCATTGTGGTCGGGTACTTAGGCACTATGCTTTTCACTGTAACCCAGAAGTACCACAGAAAAATTCTCCACCCAGATCTTCACTGGCTCAGTTATTATTTTGTTTCAAGAGTGTATACGGCCTGTTTTGGCTTGATATGTGTAAATTCATGGCGTGGTGTTTGGATGGCCTTAGATCTGTATACAAGTGTCGATTCAAAAACTGTCGCATCCATCACCTTTATAAGTGTAATTCTTCTTGCTGTGTCTCACACGCTTAGAAATGTTTCAGCATCACCTTTCACAATTGTAACCGATAGATATGAAGGATATTTTGATGTACCCACACTTCTGCAATCGGTAAGTTTGCCTAAAGAATATAATGAGAACTTTAGCTATTTATTATCACTGCACTCTATTTCTCACTGTAAACAGAGGCCGTCCCAAAGTATAAAATGCTATTATTAAACTGTAACACATTTAAATAAATATATATTAAATTAATCTGTGAATAAATGTCACTCAGGTAAATTGAAGGTCAAGGACAACTTCACGAAGATTTATCTCCATTCCTAATCTTCTTTTACCAAAGTGTCTTGTTTAGGTTTTATATTAATTTAATGGATATGACCATGTTTTTAATAATGGAACAATCTAAAATAAATAAAAATATATGTGATGACAAATTGAATATACCCTTGGATTGGATAATGAATCTTTGTGAAAACGAAAACAGTTTACGTCACATAAATCGTTGACAAGTTAACAGTTCATTAAGTTTCTTTTCTTTATTTTTATCACTTTCCTAGGTATGTAGTTTATTTATTTTAAAAAATGCTAATTTTTATGCTATTCATTACATTACAAACAATTTTGAAAAAAGTTCGATAAAAACAATGTTTTTGACAGAAATATTGTTTAAAATATAAGGAAATTGAATTACTCAAAAGTCATAAATATTGATTACAAGTCAGTATGTAATGCTATATATTGCATTTTATTTATTTATTTTATTGTTATTATTATTATTTTTTATATATATAATTTGTTGTTGTTGAGAACTTCTACACTTACAATAACTCTGTATGTACTTCATAAACAGGAAATTAAAAATAACTTGACTTATAGCTTTAAAATAATAGAAACGTAGATAATTTCCAGCATTATTGTCTTTTTAAGAGAGAGAGACTGCGTTTGTCTATTGTGTACGACGTGAATATTCATTATTTTTCATTGATCGTCCTTTTTAATAAAATAAATTAAAGTTAAAAAAACCTGTACATTTACAAAAAAGCTGTACATTTATATCTGTATTAGAAAATTTCATTAAACCAGAAAAATGGATTTCATCTTCCTAAAAAGTGTTTAATGAGGATTAGATTATAATAAAAACGTATATTTCAAAAATAATATCTAACGAGAAAGACAATTTCCTTTTCCTTATTCCCACTCGAGAAAAGGTTTTCCCAAACCGTGTATTTTTTTTCATTAGAATTTAAGATAGTTACTTTTCAAAAAAGAAAAAATGTAAATTGTAAGTGAAACATTAATGCCATTTTTGATGGTTTGTCCAAAGCAATGTTTCCTCATGATTCTAGGTGCTTTAATTTTCTAGTCGAAAAAAAAGAACGATTTTTAAGTTCAAAACCTCTTTGACGACCTTCACGCAGGCAAGAATAAACAGAAACGAGTTCATCTGACATATCATTCGGCACGATTTCACTCCTTGCGCCCTCCTTTGCCTAATAAAGTGCTATATTAGATGATTGCGCGGAAGTTCCCCTGCTGTTTCTGCCCCAGCAGCTACGGAAACTTATTGAGTCCATTTCAAAAATAGTAAAGCGCGGTCATGTCAACCAAGTTTCTTCTGTTTTTGAATTTCGATCGTCCATTTTCTATGAAAGCAGTGCATTCCAAACATTATTTCCATGTTCACTCTTGCATTTCCAACCGAATACCAAGCTAAAAGGTTAATGATATATTTTTAAGAAAGAATCACTAATAATTGAATAATCATTTGTATACTTCGTAAAAAATAACTGTTCTTGGCGACCCGTATAAATACGATATGCATGTTGTCGATATGTATTGCCAGCGATTTGAGAAATGCCATGTTGGTTTCGATCCAACACAAAACTGTATTGATTGTTGGTTGATAATTGCCAATTACCTATCTGTAATTGTTCAGACGCTTATCATCTACATCTTCAATCTGGTTTTTCCGGTTCTTCTGTTTTTTACTCCTACGTAGTTTCTCCCATAGAAAAACAAGATTTAGAGTTATAGATGAAATAGTATTATGTGCTGTACATTTTCGGTTGTATCTTCTCCCAAATAAGTTGTTACATATGCTGTTTTTGTAGTTGAAATGACATCTATGGAATAGGTTGTATTCACGACTATATTATTGGATAAGAATTGTTTTGCGTATGTTGTATTGAATAGATAGAAGCAATGATTGCTTTTATTAATTATTTAAATAAATTGTTTTTTTAACCTAAGGCATTGATTGAGATGAAAAAGCTATAGCCGCCGAAGGTCGTAGGTTCGAATCCCGCTCGTGCCACTGCTTTTTCGTCTTAGCCAAAGCCTTAGATAAAAAATATAATTAATGATTATTCAGAAAACGTGAGATGCGGTCTGGTGTGATGTAGGTTTCAGAAAAACATTTCTTTATCGTGCCAACGTTTCGATCTTTATTGAGATATATAACATCTTCAGGGTTCAAAGTGTGGGCTTTCAACACGACACCCAGAGACCCACTTACGCAGAAAATAAACACTTTGAGTCCTGTAGATGATCTCAATAAAGATCGAAACGTTGGCACGATAAAGAAAATATTTTTCTGAAACCTACATCGCACCAGACCGCATCTCACGATTTCTGAATAATCATCGACTAACGGTCACACAGTATAATTAATTTTGAATATTGTTTCAGGGAACAGAAAACCTTTGGATGTACATTCTCGACTGCACGTATTCCATATGTGTGGTCGGGACGTTAGTCGTTTTTGTTTGGAGAGGGGCTTGGTGTCTTCTCGACATGTTCCTCTACCCGAGTCAGCCGGAGATGTCCGCCTGGGCGTCATTGGTACGTAGACATTTTTCTTTTCGGGTAAACAGGTTTTTTTTCTTTATCTGGGATATTCAACCAGATTTATTCAGGTACCAGTGACTAACAAACTAAGTAGCTAACTGTCTAAGTAAATAAATAGGTTAATAAATAGACAAATAATCGGGTAAGCAACTTAAAGACTAATGTCACAGTTCCTGAAGAATTTGAACAACCCGCCATAGACTTCTATGTCACCCTCTCCCAGTAGCGAGCTTAAGTTTAGTGACATTTTCACTTGCCCCAGGGCCTCCATTTCTTTCAGAAATTTGTCTCGCTGAGCCTCACATTCGGTGCATTGTAGTAGTAGATGATCAAAGCTCTCTTCTATATAGCACGTTGTACAGTTTGGTGATGTTTTATAGTTAATACGGTATAAATATGAACTGCAGATGAACCAGTGCGGAGTCGTGTAATTGTTGAGACGAAGGCTTTTCCTCTCTCTGTTTCTTGAAACCACGGCTTCTTTGTAATGTTGGGAATAATGAACAGCAGAACTTCTCTGTTGTGCCCGCGTCGTACCACTTTTGCCACTTTCTGCACACATCTCTTTTGATGTGGTTTCTACCATCTCCGACCGTTAGCTGCACATCGTGGGAGATGCTTTAGTTGTTGCCTCCTTGGTTAACTGGTCGGCTCTTTCGTTATGTTTTATGCCTGCATGCCCTTTTACCCAGCATATTACAATGTTTGCCTTGATTCCTTAATTTGAAGGTTGCTGGAAGATGATACGTCACTCGGGGTGTTACTGTTATTGATTGATGATTACGCTCATGCCAGAAAATGGGCTACTGAATTAGAAAACTTAAATCGTACCCGTCGAGAAATTGAACAGGATATGCAGCAAGAATCGTAGCAACTTTTTGAACAAATAAAAAATGCACCATCAATTACCCAATGGTTTAACACTCTATCACCCCGAATGGCATCAGGGGGTAGTGGGAATACTGGCTTCCCAATGACAATTTCGATTAAAATATATTCATACTTGTCATCGAATTTGAAAGTGCATAATTGGCATACTGTGCTGAGGCAGTCCATCATAATCCCGATTTTTTTTAAAATTGGTATCTTCGAGCAGTATTCCAGCGCTTTCAGTATAGCTTCTTCTTCAGTATACCTTCTGCTGTGTAAGAGCTAACAAGATTCGGAATTATTCTCGTGACAACAGTTCAGGCTGTCATATAATGGGTAAAAACAGTTAAAAAGGAAACCGTTCCGCCAATTCTTGGTTTTGCCGATTAGCGGTCTTGTTTTCACATGCTAGAACGATTTTTGACTAATAACGACTGTTAACGGCAGTTAGACGTTTCCATTGTATCTTTTTGTTCAGAGTCTACTTAGCAATTTTTGATCAGCTAATCTGTAAAATTTTGAAATCCTGCGACTTAAAAATGATTAAACGATATTTCGTATAAATATTTGCCATTGAAAAGCAAAAGTTCGTTTTTCGTATAGATTTATCACAGTTTTGTAAACCTATTTAAGATTATAATGTTGCTATCATTTCATAAAATATATGAAGTTAGGTGCTATAAGTATTGTTAAAATTTAGCAATTATTGTATTAATTATTAATTGTGTTTAGTAGTGAGAATATTTAACTTTAGGAAACATGACTTATGTAAAGATTATACCATAAAGAAGTAGAAAAAGAATATTGGCCAAGAAGAAGACTAGATACGGTCATATGAAGTCATACACATTCATACATTAGTACAAACTTTGGAAAAAACTCTATACTTCTTTTGGCTTGTAACATAACACAAAATTACACATTCAGGCACATAGATAAACGGCTTAATGAACAACGACAATATTAGCAAAAGCATGACATTGATTCATTAATGAAACTATGTTCACTGAGGAAACTGAACACAAAATACAGTCTAATTGAAGCAAACTTGTTAACTACATAATCAAAGGTCGTTTTCAAGAAGGTTTAATTAAAGCATCTCCACTCTTCAATAAAAGGCACTGCACTATACTAAAACTATTAGAATATAAAATTATCCTTGATTAATTAATGCTTTTTTAACGATTTGTATGACAAATGATGGTGCTTGTTTTGTAAAGAGAGTCTGTAAAATGGTGACAAATCATTACCAAAATAGAACACATCCTGTAAAGAGATGACAATAAACCGTTTATAAATACACCCAAGACTGGCATGAATGCAAATTGACGCGATACGGTTGTCCAATCAGGCAACAAAAGCGCAGGACCTGCGCCCGGTATATAATGCGCTTTGATTTATATCACCCTTCATCGTAGACGGTCTCTCTCTTATATTTATGGAACGATTTACAATAACGACACCTTTATTTCAGGGAATAGGATACAGCCTGGTGTTGGTCTCTTTCGGTCTTCAGCCGGCAATGAAGTACTTAGCGAAAGTCCTGACCGGCGTCTGGAGGCTCATTGCTGTCGATGTGTACCTTCTATTCTCTTTCTGCGGGATGATTAACGTCTGGCGTGGAATTTGGAACCTGCTGAACGTCTACTTTCTCCCTGGTATGTTCAGTCTCAAAATGCCCAATTTGGATGTTGTTCTATGATAAATTAACTGATTTCCAACTATTGGCGTTTTCATTAATGCACCTACTGCAACAGTTTCATTTCTCGGACTGCTAAACGCCAGAACGGAATTAACTTCTGGAAAGATTTTACACTGATTGGAACTAAATTTATGACTGTGATATTTCTTGTTGCGGTTTGCACGGTGATAAATGGTGGTTTCTATCATTCTGGCCTTCATTTGATCTGTCTGACGCCTTTAGGCCATGTATTATGTTATATGTATTATGTACATGTATGTAAGTTACAGGTGCAGTTAGATTCACAGGTGTAAGTGACATAACTGACTAAAGCTCAAACGAATGAATAACTAGAGGTCAACGAATCTCATTAAGTCAATTTAAATCTTATTTTTTTCTGTACTTGGACTCTATTTTTGGTCTAAGTGATTTCTGTGGCCGTTTTTCCATAGAAAAGAGTTTCGGAAGCAAAGCGGCTACATATTTTTATCTGAATTACTGTAAACAATATTATATAGTTATTCTTTCTATGTAAGGTCTTGGTTGAGATAAAAAACGCCAGAGTCACTAGCGGGATTCGAAACACGACCTTCGGCTAAATACGCCGATACTCTACCACTTGAGCTATCGTGTCTTCGATCCTCTCGGACACCAACTCTCCATCTCAACCTACAACCGTTCGAATGTTCCCTCTTTTTGCCATTTTCAAATGTCGTGTAATTAGGATTGGATTCTCAGCGACTTATGAAGTGGCCACGGGGAGCAGTTTTAGTGAAGTATCCATTTACGGTGTAGTAGTCAATTGACCAAGCTACTTCTTTCAATTAATTATTCTTTCTATGTAAGGTATTGGTTGAGATAAAAAAAGAAATGGCAGAAGAGTTGAAAATGGCAAAAAGGGGGAACTTCGAACGGTTGTAGATTGAGATGGAGAGTTGGTGTCCGAGAGGATCGAAGTCGCGATAGCTCAAGTGGTAGAGTAGCGGTGTATTTAGCCGAAGGTCGTGGGTTCGAATCCCGCTCATGACACTGACTTTTTTTATCTCAAACAATACCTTACGTAGAAAGAATAATTAATTGAAAGAAGTAACTTGGTCAATTGACCACTAAAACGTAAATGAATTATTATTATATAGTATAAAATACGGGGGACACGAACCAAACACCACCAGCACACCGAGGATTCATATAACCTTGTAGTTGAAAGACCCACATAAAAAAAGATAGGGAAGTCTTGTATGTAAATTGTTCTCTTCTCATCGGGCAAGATCGTCATGGCAATTCTCGTGATGTGACAGTACAGAAGTCCAAGTACTTCTTCCTAGAGTCTATTAATTACTATTTTACTTTTGATTTGTTACAGATATGCCACATCTGAGTAATATTTTAACGCACGCGTTCAGTTTCCTACTACTCGTTCTCATTAACAGTTCCAACTCAATTTTAGTCCGAGGAGTGTACGTCGACGCTCAAGAAGATGGGGAACAATGCGTCGACTTCCCATGTTATTACATCAGACTATTCTTTCAGGTAATATTTTGCGCTTATTTATAAAAAAAATCTCCAATGCACATTTTCCCAGTGTTACAAAAGGTCGGGAATATCAGCGTCGCCCACAACGTAATAAAGTCAGAAAAAATTGTGTTTAAGTTTGAATGTTTTTTAATCGTGTTTTTTGAAACGGTCATTATTATAAATTCTGAAATGTCTGATTTTTGTCAATTCCGTTCCAGTTATCTCTTGTGCTTATGTATGGGAAATCTCGTTTTCATTGCGTCATATTTGACTTCGTAAAAATAACTCGACGTTTTAAAACAAACTTCTTGATCTTTTATCATTACTTTTATATAGTTTTACTGTGCATAGAAATGTAATGAAACGTGTGGGATTCGGAATGAAGTTTTGATTCAACAAAAACGTTAATTGCATAACGCAAATGGTTTTGTCTAAAGACGCGTTTCGGTATTTGACTATGTTCAATACTTGGTCCGTGCGTTATTTTGCCAACCGGCCTCCTTTACAAGTTAAAATGTATACTCACTCACACTTACTATCTCAAACTGAAGTCCTTCATCTCGGATCAATGATTTAAAGTGAGAATCGGCTCTGATTTTTTACCCATCACGCCAATCAAAGCTGGCGTTCCCCAAGGGAGTATCCTAGGTCCAATACCACTATCTCCACTGATGACATACCTTCACGTCTGAACCCACAACTCACAACCTACGCGGACGACACCGCAATCTTAACTACACACTCCAATCCAAACTAAATCCAGACAGAAGCAATCCAACAACATCTGAACCTCAGCGGATCAGGTTGAACGAGCGAAAAGCCAATAAGTTACATTTACGTTCAAACGTCAAACCTACCCACCAGTGCACATACTACAAGGTAATACCACCATTCAACCAAGTCCGCTACCTTGGGCTTTACTTTGGTAGCACACAGAACGTACATACAAGATTAAAAGACAAGAACTTAACAAAAGATATGGACTATCTGGGTCCAAAATCAACACTAGGCATACGTGAAAAATAACCGCTTACAAATCCCTCATCAGTCCTATTTGGACTTACGGCGTCAAACCGTAGGGCTCTCTGTCAAATCCAACGAATTTAATCCTTTCAATCAAAAGTTCTCTGCCGTATCCACATCACCATCAGAACACGATTCCTCAATTTCCACTGTAAACTGTCCCTCCACTAGCCCAAACACTTTCCCCAACGTAGCACCCTTATAAAACTCCACACCTCTTCGTCTGACAGATCTGTCAGATTTGTATAAATTGATACAATTTTCTCAATGTATATTTCTTTTGTACAGATAGCAAGAAATAAAATAAATTTTATATACATTTTATTATTAATTTCTTATTTTATAAATTTTACTCTTCGTAAAGATAGTCGATGTTGTTTGTCCTTTCTGATCTTAATAAATTCTTTTACGTGTTATGCTTAAATTGTTCTCCACATTGTTAACTATTGTCTCTATATTGGTCGTGTTATTTTGTCATCCGTTTCCGTTTTATTATAGCGAAACGCCGATTTCTCCTTAATTGATTGATGATTAGATAGAATAACGTTAACATCTGATTTCCTCTTTATTTCAGTCCCGCCAGAAGAAGAAGTTCCTCAGCGAGTCCGAGAAGAATCTCAAAGAGAGGCGGAAAAGCGAAGCGGCCGAAACTCTGATTCAGATGGGTGCTGAAAAAACGGTGATAGTCGTCCCCAACCATACAGACGCCATCACCAACGCCGTATGACGCCATCTCAAGGGTTTCACATAACTGGACAATTTTAATTTATTGTAAATACTCGGACCCTGTGTGATCGCTCGTTAGAACCCATCGGCGACCGGCAACGGTCCATCGTGATTTAAGAAGGCATTTGCTTAGCATTAGCTGTTAGTTGGACCCTTCCTGCCTTCTGTGGAGGAGAGAAGCGGCCCAATTGTTTCATTGTCAAGGATCGTTGACCAACGTCCGACTAATTCTTCACCATGCTTTTTTGCATTTAATAAACAACCAACCGGATTAACAGTTGTAAAGGCACTTTTATGTTTATTGTTCTGCAGACAATTATCATAAGGTAAAATGTCTAAGATTAAGAATAATTTCCAGTTTATGTGTGAATATTAAAAAACAATATATTTAATCAAAATTGCAGAGAAAGAGTTTTAAAATCCATTTAAACGATTAATTTTATAAAATATCAAAGTGATCATTTAAATTATTATGATTTAAATATTTTTCGGTCATTTACTATTATATTATATTATAGTAAAAAATTGGTATTACCTATCACGGATTTATATTATTTTGTTATAATTTTTCTTTTGAAAAATCCATTAAAAATTTTAAAAAACAACTATAAATATTTTGTGTTTTACAGAAAATCATTTCTATTTTCAGATTTGGTTTGAAAGAATTGAGTTTTAACTTTTAGCTAGGAAGAGAAAAAAAGAAAAAATATCGTCAAAATTGTATAACAATAGATGAATAAAACGTCAGGCTAAAATTACCCGAAATCGTTTTTTTAAATATTTTTAATCTTGAAAATTTAAGAAATTGACATTAATTTTTGCAATCGTACTACCCAAAAATTAAATATTTGTCAACCATCTCGTTACTTTATAAATAAAAGAAAAAATTATAAAAGTCATTGTCGTAGTTTCTAGTCGTAGTTTAGTCGAGGATTTCTAAGCGAAAAATTTAAAAATAAGATGTACATTTGTAAAAATTGATTTTTTAATTAAAGGTAATTTTATTAATTTTTAAAGGAAGATTTTATGGGGTCCGGAAAATAGGAATTTTATTAAGAAGGGGAACTGATAGATTAAAATTTTTTTCTGGCTAAATACTGTACATTCATCATATGAATGAATGAATGAATGAAAAAGTACTTTATTAGATAACAAAAGAGAGTAAAAAAAAAAAAAAAAATTGTACATAAACAAAAAGCACATTTCGGCAATGGTTATCAACCGTCTGCCGGAGTCGGACTATACATTTTTAATAAATAAGGAAAATATTTCTTCTTAAGGAATAAACAAAAGAGAGAGAAAAAGCTATATAAATAAACTAAAATAACAATATATCTATTTATGCACATATAAATGAATAACCAGGGTGTCTCTGATATATACAGTAAACATTTAATAGTTGAAATAAAAAACAAGCGTTTTCCTGTAGTTCCAGGCTTCCATCGCAAACTTTACCAGATTTAAAGACTCGGGGTTATTTAGTAAAGAGATTAGGTGCTCTCTCGTCAACGTGGGCAAGCCTATATGCCGTGCTCGGAACTCTGCTAAAACTGGGCATTCTGCTAGAAAATGAAAACAGTCTTCTCGAGCCTGCCTGTTGCAGAGAGAGCACCTATCGGAGCTATTGACTCTTGTGGGGTTATAATTGAGGTACAGTAACTCGCACCTAATTTTGAAAAACCAGCGAGCTAGCGAAATGGACGAAATTTTAGAATGTTGCGCTATGTTCAAGAAAGGTTGACTGATATTAAGGTCCTTATAGAGCAAAAATCTAGAGGAATTCTGAGCATGGAGGTGACATTTCACTGTGTGAGAAGTGCGGATATTGTTAATTAATTTTGAATGTAAAAGTGGCCACTCTTTGAGATTGTCCAGGGAAAAATTGTCATTCAGCTGAAATTGTTGAGCCAAGTTATTCCAGGAAGAAAACCATGATATTTTGGATCTTATGATTTCCAGCGCTGTATTCTTAGGAAGGCGGTAGTTAGGGAGATTTAGGACCCTGTAGACATAGGAAGTATGTAACTGTAATGTAAATTGAAACAAAAGTTCAACGGAGGTTTCGAGGTAGATCATGTAGTTAGGCGTGAAAGAAGGGAGGTGATAAATTTTACGGATAAAATAGCGTTGTAGGGATTCAACTGTTTCATAGCGCTGGAAACCCCAAGCCTGGGAAGCGTAGGACACAATCGAGCGGCAAACAGCCAAAAACAGCCTATATTTGCTGCACACCGGGACAAGATTATTGGAAGTGAGTTTAGCCCAAATTGAATTCATTGCATATTTTGCAATATGAGTTTTTCGCTTGAGGTGAACATTGAGTGAAAGTTTAGGGGTGAGAATTAGGCCCAAATATTTATACTCATTGACTGTTTCAATGCGAGAGCCCTCAAAATACCAGCGTTCATTAGCCGCAAGCCTGCCTCCCCTACGAAAAACCATAATTTTGGATTTGTTTAGGTTGACCGAAAGATTCCATTTATTACAGTAAGTCTCTAAGGCATTAATATTTTTTTGCAGGGTAACCGGTGAGCCTGACAGAATCACAATATCGTCCGCGTACAAAAGAATCTTTATTTCAATATTTCCGTAGCGTATACCGTATTCAAGACAATCCGGGAGATCGTCGAGGAAAAGGGAGAATAACAAAGGGCTCAAGTTACATCCCTGTCTAACCCCTGAGCGCACCTCAAAATATCCCGAGATACCCCCCTCCCCAACGACTGCAGAGCGGGATTGTTTAAATAAGGATTTCAATATTGAAAGAATTTTTATTGAGAAACCAAGGTTGCTGAGTTTAAGTATAAGCGCATTCCTATCCACACAGTCAAAGGCAGCCTTAAGATCCACGAAAAAGGCATATACTTTCTTATTTTTGTTTAAGTGTAAATTAATAATGTTGGTTAATGTGAAGATATTATCTATGGATGAGTAACCTTTCCTGAACCCGCCCTGGAACTCACTTAGGAGGCTATTGCTTTTGACAAATTTCTCGAGGCGTTGAAGAAGAAGATTTGAAAAAATTTTAGCACATGCATTGATACAAGAAATACCTCGGAAGTTGTTAACATCATTAACGTCACCCTGTTTGTGTAAAGGAAAAATAATTGACCTCCCGAAGGAAGACGGGACATCACCAGTGTTAAATATGAAGTTATAAAAAGATAATAATTTTTCAAGAAAACAGTCGGTTGCAAATTTATAGAACTCGTAGCTAATGCCATCAGGACCCGGAGCTTTATTATTTTTTAAACTAGAGACAACATTTTTCAATTCATTTAACGTAAAAGATTCATCTAAAATGCAGTCAAAAAGAGGGGGTTGAGAAACATGTGCAAAGGTGATCAAGGGGGGGTTAAGTAAATTTTTAAAGTGGGTTACCCAGGAACTCATCGAGATATTGCTGCTTTTGGAAGGAGACCTGTGTTTAAAGTGGTTCGCCAACTTCCAGTATTCTGTGGCATCCTTAACTTTCTCGAAACTGTTCACCATTTTTGTGAAATAGACTTTTTTTTTTTCAATGCATAGGGCTTTAAATTTCCGATTAGAGTCTAGATAATCCTTTTTAACCATATCAGAATTAGTTATGCGAAACAATTTAAGTAGAGAAAACGTTTTATTTCGCAGCGAGTGACAATCAAAATCAAACCAAGGGTTCTTTCGAATTTTATGTAACCCACCTTTGGTCAAGTGGGGCCAAGAAGCTTTTATTACTTTCTCGAACATTAAACTGTATTCATCCAAGTTGCAGGCTGTTGGAACAGAATCGACGGTAGAAAGTAGAAGGGGCCGGGTTAAATTCTTTCTATAAGTGTCAATGTATTCATCTGACCAAGGCAACCTTTTAAGCGGAGTGGGGCTCTCATAATTAGGGGTATTGTCACAAAACATGGAAAACACTATAGGCTGATGATCTGAGTATGTCTCCCCTAAAACCCAAAAATCCTCTATCAAGGGGCATAAATGAGTTGGTACACATAGCAGGTCACAGACCGAAGCTCCATTTCTAGATATATATGTAAAGTGCCCTTCTGCATCACCAATAGAACGACCGTTAAGAATCAACAAGCCGTAGTCTGCACATAATTCTAGGAATTTTTTACCACGTGAGTTGACGGTTAGATCTCTGGAGCGGCGATACAGACTAAAATTCCCAATACTTTCGAGTTCGATCTCTTCTAAATTTTGTTCTTCCGCTATTCTCACATTGAAGTCGCCCATAACTGTTAGATTTAGATCCCTATGTTCAGACAAAAAATTGGTAAGGTCACTAAAGTCCTGTTCCCAATTATTGCAATTTAAGTATATAGGCAACAGATGGAAAATGATTTTGGGAGTGAAAATTTTGATTAATTCGAAACCATCAATTTGGATATACTTTGCAAACAATGATTTTTTTTTTATCCCAATGACTACACCCCCACTTGCGCGTCCGAAGGTGGAGGTTTTTTTTGCAGCATTCCAGCGTAGGTCATGCTTGGTGAAGAAATTTGAAAATAAAGAGTCACCCTGGTTGAGCACATGTGTCTCTAGTAAGATGAATATATGAAAAGAGTTTACAAAATTAAAGAAAGAGCAGCTATGTTTTTTATTACTAAGACCTGCTATGTTATAACACATAATTTTTAAAGGAGCACTCCGACAGACTTTCTTATGCAAGACGGATCGCCAGCAGTAATTCGCGATCGACCTGAAGCATTCTCAGAGGAACGAAGACCTTGGATAAGAGAAGAAAGTTCCACTCCACTTATATTGTCGACAGGTTTTCCAGAATCTTTCGAACAGAGTCCAGAAGTCTCATCCCAAAAATAGCACTTGTCTTGGAATAACAGTTTGTCAGAGCGCAGGAGACATTTGGCCCCTGGAATTCGTCTTCGTATTTCGCCTCGAACGCGAAGAAGGTTAAATCTTTTCTGTCTGATCGTTTTTATGATGTACATTCATCATAAAAACACTATAGCTTCTTGGCATTGTATATGTTAATAAAATTTTATACCTGAAAAAGCGCATCTATCAAAATATATTGTCTTTTTATGGTTTTCCATTGGTCTTTCATTTGGTTTCTCATGCACGTCCTGAGCGCGTAAGTAACGTAGTTTCAACTCCAAAACATTTGCGGGATCGGCATAATTGTGGAGTGAAACATCTCTAAATTTGTCGACATTTATTGCCTGAGAAGCAAGGAAATTTTAAAATTTTTAAAGAGTATTTATGAAATATCTACCAGCGAAAAAATGTCCGGATCAGTAGGGGTAAATATGTAACATTTGTTGCAACAGATCCGGACATTTTTCCTCATACGTCAAAAAAAATTCTAATTTTTTCTTGTAGCTGCTAGATATTTCATAAATGTTCTTTAAAAATTTTAAAATTTTTTCTGTATTATATAGTTTTAATGTAAGGAATTTAATTTTTCGCGTGTGTTTTGGCAATTTATTATACCAAAATAAGAATGCACGTCTGTCGGGTTGACGATCTAACTCAAAATCGGAAGTTTTATTAAAATTTGAAACCAATTTCGGAAAATAAACAGGCTGGTTTTTGTACACTTTCATAAATTTCTGTTTCTGATTCAGTACCCCTATTAGTTTTGTCGGTTAATTTATTTTGAGATGATGCGTACCATTGATTTTTGTTTCAAACTTTTAAAGATTTTTTTGTTTTTCCGGTTGTCTTTAACGCGGTCTTTTTAATTGTTCCTCAAACATGTACATCGTACTTTTTTAACTGACGAGATTGAAATTTTGCTTCTTGAGCTGAAGAAG